TTTAAGATACAAATGTTTAAACAAAATCCTTTAAATAGACCTCAGAAAACACACATTTTTCTTTGTGTGTATACTCGAATAAGACGAAGTAGCTGCACACAAACACACACACATACACAGAGGAAAACTTACAGGACTTGGCAAAATGTAACCCGCAGGCATTTTGGGTTAAGGGGGCGTAGGAAGGAAGGCTAGTTGGGGGGCAACGCAGGCGAATGGGGGGCCACATGGCAAAAACTTTGAGCAGCAGCAGGAAAATAATGTAAAGGATGTGCCACCCAGGGCCACCATGGAGACCAAGCCGAGTGTAACTGGAAAATAATAATTTTTTCTCCCTTTTTCCCCCCGTCATTTCTCTGCTTTCTCCATGGCCACCCACCCCCTCGCATTCATCCGACGCTGTGCTGTGTGCCTTCTGTATGTTTGCCGTTTCTTTTGAGTGTCAGAAATGGAAAAGAAAATAATTTGATGGTTTCATAAACTCGCTTCGGGGCCCCAGGCAGGGAGGCGTGGGTGGTGGTTTTCCCCTAACTGTATGTGTGTGTATTTCTGATAAAATTGCAAACTAGTATGTGTGTGTGTGTGTAAGGGAGGAAGAAGACGCCAGAATTTATGGAATTTTTCTGCTTTTTTTGGGTGAAAACTTCTTCGGACGATAGATTTCTTGCAAAATATTGCGATGCATAGTTCGAAGGGGGATGAATCTAGATAAAAGCTCATCATGAAGCTGCAGATAGGGCTAGATGATAATGGCGAGTGTACAAGGATCCCGACTCATTAGAGAAAAGGAAAACTTTTGGCCGAATACACTTGCAATATTATTAGACAAAAAAAAAGTATTATTATTATAACCCCTCCTTGGCATATTTTTCTCCCTACACTTCTAGCTGGCTGGCTTATGTGTACACAGCATTTGTCCTTGTCTCTGTGTGTTTGGGTTTCATTATTAATTTTCCTCGTTTTTTCATATTTTTCGTATTTTTATTTTATCACACACACACAGCCCAAACGCACACACTTATGTATATGGCTCGGGGGGGAAAAACTTACACACACACAAAGTTTAGTTTATTGTACAAAATAATATTTGATAGAAAAAGAAATTTTAGTGTTCGCCCGACAGAGATGGAAATAGTTTTTGTTGGCTTTTCGCTTTTCGGTTGGTCGGAAAATAGGTTTCTATGTGTGTAGTGTGTGTGTGTGTGTGCGTTTGAGGGGGAAAATGGAAATAAAAATGGGGTTGGGGATAAATTAATTTTTCACTTGGTCGTGGCCCATGCGCCATGGAGATGTGAAAGTGAAAATGATGGAGAAATATCAAACCCAAAGCGAACGATTTTGAAGGTGTCCCATCCCTTAGCTATCCGTTCGTTCCCTCACCTCGTATATAAAATGTATGTTTGTTTTCTGTACGCGTTCATTGGTTTCAAATGAGATTTCTTACTAATGAGCAGGGCACATAGAAACTGGAAATGTTTTTCCACTTTTTTTTCCCCATTTTTTGCTTGTCGTTGTAGAGCTTTAGGCGCAGGGAAAAGGAAAAGGAATTTCCACGAAATTCTGACATTTCGGATGATTACGACTTCGAAGGAACTCGAGGGGCTTGGGTTATTTTCAATTATGATGGCCACAAATACTACTACGATTACCTACAATAATTTAATATGGAGCGTAATTAAAAGGTAGTTACTATGGCTTAGCTGGCACGGGCTATTTATACTTATAATTACCAGATATCAATCAGAACTTGACACTTGACAATGCTGAAACTCTGGGTTATTGTAGGATTTTTGATTTCCAATCGATAGAAGGTAAAGAAATCATCTACAGAAAATGCTTTATTCATTATATCCTAAGGAAACCCCATAAAAAACATCTTTCAAGCAATGAATTCCTAATCAGGACACCCCAATCTTGGCACATCAAAGAAACTAAGCGCAACTTCTGCACTTCTAATAAAGCAATTTGTCGCACTCGCACACACATTTCCCGAGGAAAGGCGACACCGAACCTTCCCCCACCCTTCGTTAATTTCCTCCCCCGCACTCGAGTACGAAAACCAACAGAGATCATTACTCCCGGAGTTGCGAGGGTGAGTTTTCCCATTTACTGACCCATTTCCCATTTACATTTTTGAGTCCACGCATAATTTCAATTTGATTTTCGTAGGAAATATTAATTGCATACCGCATTAAGGGCGGGGGTGTCCTGTCACGTGAGTGTGCCTCTATGGCTGTGTGGGTGCAAGTGTGGCATATGGGTTGACAGGGGCGTATCAATCATAAAACCGACAGTTCTCGCTAAGGGTGCGAGTTGGGCTGGCCAGAGCTCGAATTTAAAATTAATAATTACTATTTTTGTGACCAATGGGTTGGGCGGGTAACTCAGCGTAATCCATTATTATTATTCAGGCTACCAAAAGGTGTGACAAAAATGTAATTTTGAGTTTGGTGCTAGCCCTTAAAGGTATTTTAGAGTATTAAGAGTTTCTGAAACTTAACTAAAATATTTTTTTACTGAACTATATTTGTTTTTAAATTGATTCTATTGTTATGTTATTATAAAAAGTTTACAATGGTTTACAATTCACTGTTAATCTTAATATATTACAATAACTTCATTAAAGTTGATCAGATATATTCCTTAGATATCTAACATGTTATCTACACATAAAAGTTTAACTAAGCAAGATAAATAGGTTTTAGTTAATATAACTAATAATCTTTCATAGTAATTTTCTATTTTCCCATCGTAAAACAAACACAGTATCCCAAATGTCAAACCATTTAAATTTACAACAGCTTGACCGCGACATTTGCGTTTTGTTTACATTCCGCCAGCCCCGACAAGGACATGCGCCTACGCAGGGGCTTCCCCTTTTTCGGGGGGCTGTCCGTCCCTCCGTGTGTGTGTGTGTATGTGCGTGCGAGTGAGTGAAAGCGAAAGTGAAAGTGCCGGCAAAAGGCAACGACAGTGGACAAGTGCTCCGACATGTGTGAGAGTGAAAGTCGACGAGAAAAAACCTTGACCACGACCACGACCAGGTCAAAATAGACCCAGTGGGTGGGTGGGGTCCGATCCGATCCGATTCTGATACCGATTCCTATTCCGATTCCCGACCAATGACTGCTCCCCTCCACCGACTGTTGCTGCCGGACTATTGCTGCTCCTTTGGCCCCGTTCGTTCAACCGGCTGTGGCCAGTGGAGGGCCACACATGACACCGGCTGCAGAGCTACTCCGAAAATATAGAGAGTCACCTTCGCGGCGCAGGCGCAGATCCCGAAGGACGTGCTCACAGGACTTCACTTTCGCTTTCTCGCCGTGCGTGTGTGTGTGTGAGTGAGAGTGTGTGGAAAAGGAAAACAGAAAATGAACAATGGTGAAGGCAAAGGGGTGGCCAAGGTTGGGCCCACACGCAGGCACCCACACACATGCACCTGCACACGAGTATCTTGCATTGAGTATCTTGTATCTTATAACTCGTATCCATCCGTAAGTCAATCCGTCAATCGGGGAAAGGCAAACAATCACCGGCTCCTTCTCTGGGGAGAGTTTCTGACTCAGATTTATGGCGATGTGCAGTGAGGCAAAGCCTAATCCCCTTGGGGAAGCGGTGGAACCTCTAATCTGATCAATAGTTGGGTCATTTTAATACTTATATTTTAATTAATGTGAAGTTTATAAAGAAACTTAATTAAAAATGTGTGCCTTTCTGATTATGATATACTTCTCAGAGTGTCATTTACCGCTTTTAGGCTTTCTATAATCCATTTTAATTGAATAAAGGGGTTATAATTAACTTAAATTAATTAAAACTGATCGGGGTGAACTGATTTGCTGACAACTGAAGTATTGTTTCCAATGTGAGTCCAACACCATTGATTTAATGCCCTTATATTTTCTAAAAATAATAATGATTATATTACATTTCTAAAGGCTTTCCTTTTTAAATAAAATGTATGAATAAATGCATAGGAATTTTATTGTATTTGCCAAGATTTTATTGCTAAAATCTTGTCACTCCAGAGTCGTCTCCCTACAGCTGTATCATCCCTAAAGTGTTTCTTACAATAACTCTACGTAATCATATCATTAAAGAACAATTCAAAAATCCTCTTGGGTAAAATCCCCAAACAAAGGGTAGGGATAAAACCTACCTGGAAGCACATCTAGATCCTCGCGGAAGCCCTTCAATTAACCAATTTCCAGTGGCAAACCAACCCCAACCCCTTTTTATTCTCCATGTTCCTTTTTCGAACAACTCAAGTCAAGGAGTGCCTGCTTTGTTAGCGTCAAGGACTTGAAAGGATCCGAAACCAAACGAGCCAAGAATTTGTGACTTTTGCCGTTGGAAGTGCATAAATTAAAATAACAAAAATATAACTGTCGCAGCCGGAACACCAATAACAACGATGGCGGCGGCACACGAACTGCTACTGCCACTGCCACTGCTACCGCCACTGCAGTAGGAAAAAGGAAAAACAAATTGAAAATCCTATCGAACAATGATAAATTGGCACGACAACACCAACAAAATAATATCGGGGAAAAACATTCCAAGTTGCGCGGTTGTTGCTCATTCGCCGTCCCTTTCCATATCGCTGTAGTTGTGGTGGTTAGTGAAAATTTCAAAAAAGAAAAAAAAAGAGAGAGGAGGGAAAAGGAAAAGGGGCGGAGCAATAATGGTTTTCCGGGCAGCGCTGCTCAGTTGTCGCGTTGTGTGTGGACTTTTTTTTAAGGGAAATTCTATGATTTTTGATATTTTGGGGTGTTTTATTGAGGTTTTTTTTTCGGGCGATATGTGCCGGTTTTCCATGTGTGTGTGTGTGCATTTATGGAAAAACTATTAAACCATATAGGGGGTTAGGGTTCGCTCGTGTGTGTGTGGTTGTGATTTTAGTATCATTGCTATTTGCTGTTTTGATTTTCAACCGGCAACGGGCAATTGATAGCCGATATTTTTTGTTATTCCGCCGCGTCATGCGGCAGTTGACAACGAGCTAGCCACTTGGCAGGACACGATCCCGACACACGCCAAAAAATACACGAAATTCGAAATACAAAACTCGCAACACAAACCGGAAGCGGAAACGGAGACGAGCCAAGTGCACATGCGCAAAAGTGACTTGCAGAAAACCTAACAAGAGAGCATCAAGTGATCACCGCCTTTGAAATGTGTTTGCAAAAGGTGTTCAGTGAGAGGTTGAACCAGTGAACATATAGAAAATATAAAGAAAACAGTGATTAAAAAGTGATTGTGGAAGAAGACTACCAAACATAATTAATGAGTAGGTTTACAAATATACCGTATCATAAGGTTAAATAATTTAAAGTGAAGTTGTTATATTAACTTAGGACAAGGTATCATAAGCAGGAAATAAAATAGTTCATTTAAATTCGTATTTGAAAATCCGATAAGATCACCAATTACTTCTTATAAGTATTCTTTAGTTCCTGCTGACTTCCAGCTCCTTCTTTATCTCAACCTTATATTAATTCATGTCAGATTTTGTGAAATACTCTTAACCAGGGAAACTTAAGTCAGAACCAATCTGACGTTATTGGTTTCCCCTAGGCCAGTGTCAAGATTATATATATATTCTCACTTCTCGCCCTTAAGACCCCAACCCAACCGAAAACTGGTTTGATATGTTGGTTTGCCAAATTAGCCGCTTCTGGTGTGTGAAGGCTCGAAAATATACAACATACACACGAGTATATACAGTGAGTCAAGGAGTACATGGTTTTGTTTACACTCTGTTGGCATTTTCATTTCGAACATTTTTCTCGGCCATCCTCCTCCAGCTTCCAGCATCCGAGATGGAAGGCAGGCGAAAAAAAATCAAATAAAATAACATCAAACTACCTTAGGCTTTATAAAAATCCCAAGCAAAATACAAGCAACACCCGCCGCCCACACACACACACACAGTTCTGGGCCAGGACCAACTCACATAGATACGCTCGCACCGAGAATTCAAGAGAAATGCGCACATCCTGGCAGGCATTTTTGCTTAACTCCTCAAAGTACCGGGCGGAAGGGTCAGGGGTTAAAAGGAGCATGGGGAGGGGGGGGAAGTCCTGAATTGTATAAAAGCAAAGTCAACAACAACAACTACAACGACAACATGTAGCAAGAGAACCAATTTCCAACCATGGAAACTTAATTTATGTCTGCAGCATAGTTGAGAATATTTTTCTTTTCTTTCGCTTTTCCTCCACTCTTCCTGTGCCAACCAAAAACCCCAATGCCTTTAATACCCTTTCACAGGGTATTATTGTCCTCTTGAGGGATTTACTCACTCACTATTAATTAGCTTTTTGTTAATCGATGAATTGGAAAATGATATAAATAAGCTGTTATGGAAATGTTTTGTTTGAAATTTATTTTAAAATTGTCTTTTAAAAGACATTTTCGAGTTTATTTAAACTACATTACAATACACAAACCATAGTTGTTTAAAATATCTTGAATTAATTAATGCTCATATAGAAACACCTCTAAATGTAAACAAATTTGGTATTCAAAAATTCCCGAATAGTTTTCAAATAATAATTAGTTATTTAAAACTTTAAACAATATTTCAAGTATAAAAAAGGTAGTTTTTTAATTAGTATATAATTTTGAAATCTATTTTTATAACAATATTTATAATTTATAATTAAAGGGTATATCTAACTTCGTTCTTCCTTAATCGCTTTCCCTTCCTGCTAGCTGCTCCTCCTTCGGCTTTCTCCTTTTTGCCTGCGCTCAAATAGGAAAAAGAAATTTTCGGTTTATTTCGAAAAATTTTCTCATCCTTCCTTACAGCCCCCCCCAACCTCTACTTTCGCCTCCCATTTTCCCTGGCATTTTTCCTGGCTTTCACCCCCACCTCCTACCTCTACTTTCCCTTCCTTGCCCTTCTTCCTTTTTGCTTTTCTTGAGAATCAAATTTATTTTACCAAGTCATGTTGAAGAAAATTTTTATAAGTTTTATGCTTGGCTCAAGTGATGGTTTGGGGGGTTAGCGTTGGGGGAGGAGGAGTTCGTGTGTGTGTGTGTTTGTGTGTGCTTGTGAGGCGCAAAAAGTTTTCTGTGTACACCCACTCGCACACACATACTAGCAGGAAAATAAGCAAAATTTGTATTCCTTAAATCGGATGACTTTGTATAAATTTTCGTGTGCGCCACAATGGGGTTGTGTGTGTGTGTGTTAGTAGTGGGTGGCAGCTGGGGCGCCTAGTAAACAAACAGAAAAAAAAAACAAACTTTCCTTATATATATATATATATTTGTATATATATAGGGATATACGTATACGTATATAATGGAAAAATTTTTCATAGAATTTGCACAAAAATGAAAAAGTGTGGCCGCAGCAAAATGATGGCGTGGGGGAGGAGGCGGTGGGTGTGGGAATAATGATGATGGAGAAGAGGAATAAGAGCGAGAGAGAGAGAGAGGGAGATGGAAAACGAAAAGGAGAAGATGAAGGAGGAGAAGAGGAAGCAGGAGGCGGACAGAAGCAGAAAAATGAAATTAAGCGCATACGGAAATGAGACACAAATATTCTGAGAGTGTGTGTGTGTGCGGGCTTATGTGTTGCGTGTGTGTGCGTAGGGACAGGAGAAGAATAAGAAGAAATATTTGAGTGGCATTCAGTTCCAAGCCAAAACTAAAATTGAATGGAATCTCTGGCCAAATATTCTGTAATTTTTTGTCTTTCTCCATTTGGCTTTCCTTTTTGCACAAATAATGCGATTTAAGCCGCAGGTCGTATATTATGTACACTGGGCGAAATAATAGAGAATAGTAATGGAGAATCCTACTGGGATAACATAAACATTACTATTTTTTGTGAAAAAAATAATAATATTTGGATTTTTAATATAATAATAAGTGTTAACCAAACTAGAAAACATTTTTTAATATCTTATCTTTATAAGAAGTTAATTCACCTAGAATACTTTAATTAAAATTTTTAAAAAATTTAAATCTATTAAAAACAAGATGAAAATTATCCTAATCAATATCTTAGGTCTGAAAATCATAGAGAATATGTATTTATTGTAAGGCAAAACTAAGAACACTATATCCTATATTACTTTTATACGCTATTAATTCCATAGTGACTTTACTTTCATTTTTAAAAAAATAATAAAAATACTTTTACTACTAAATAGTTTTAGTGTTATTTCATTATCTCTTTTTGTTAAAAATCCATCCCATATGCCGACTATATATCCACATAGATACATACATGCATACAAATTCCCTTACCCACAATCCCTTTGAGACTGCTCTCCCGCTAGCATGGCTTCGACTTCAATTAAAAAGTTCTCCACTATAATATTTCCCTCTTTCTCTTTCTCCCGGCTTTCCCTTATCCCCACAGTAATATCATCCAAAATGGCTGCATCCATATATGCCACCCCACCGCCAGATCTGAGCAGCGAGGACACTGCTCTCTCCGACGTCTCTAACTCATCGACACTGAACACGAACCGAAACAGCAACAACACACATGAAGCCACAGGAGCAACATCCGGAGAAACAACAGCAGCAGCATCAGGAGGGGGAGGAGGAGCAGAAACAGGAGCAGGGGGAGATGCAGGAATGGGAGCCATTTCACCCGTCGAGCACTTGGTCAAGCCAATGGAGCTGAAACTGGAGTCACAGCCAGCGGGAAGCGGCACAACTGAGCCGGAGCCAGAGCCGGAGGAAGCGCTCAAGAATAGGGAGGAAGCGGAGGAAGAGGGGGAGGAGGAAGATGCCCACATGGCCACTATGGCGGCAGCCATGCAGCTGCAACTGCTGGAGGCTTTGAGCGATGCAGCCAAGAAGCGGCGTAAGCAACACAATCCCAGTCGCCTGGAGGCGCTCAACCTCAGCGGCGAAGCTACGGGTCAGAAGCGAGGTGACTCCACTGTGGATTACGAGGAAAGGCTGTCCAAGATGTTCCTTCCCAAGTCCATTGAGCAGCTGAAGGAGACCTTTGAGCTGCTGCAGCAGCACAAGCAGGTGGAAGAGCAGCCCGAACCTGAACCGGAAGCCGAGACCGAACCTCAAGCCGAGCCAGAAGCGGAAGCCATGGCAGACATATCAGAGCGAGCGACCAAGGAGCGGGAGAATCCCTACCACACCTTCTGTAAGCAGTGCGGCGAGAACTTCGAGACCGAGTTCAAGCTGAGCCTGCACATGCTGCAGGACCATGGCGAGGATCGGTCGGGCGACCAGGATCCTGCCGACTTTCTGGCCTCCATCAAGGTAAAGCTCGAGCGAGCCGAGAGTCCTAGTCCGCAGCAGGAACACCAGATGCAGCTGCAGCAGCAGCAGCACGACCTGACCAACGGTCATGGCAAGGACTTGGAGCGTGAGCAGGACCACTGGTTCCAGGCTATGCAACAGGCCCAGGCCCATCATACACATGCCGGTCAAATGCCACCGGCGTTTCCCTTTCCCCCGGAGGCCGCACTGGGAGTGGGTCCAGCTGGCTACCTGCCCCTGCTGGGAATGTCCGGGTTTCCGGGAGTCGATGGCCTGAACCGACCGCCGTTGCGAATCTTCAACCCCGAGGCCTACTGCGAGCTGTGCAACAAGGAGTTTTGCAACAAGTACTTCCTCAAGACGCACAAGGCCAACAAGCATGGCATCTTCGATCCAGTCGGCGAGCCCAGCACCACCAACACTTCCAGCCATCACAACAATAATAACAACACCACCAGCAGTAATAACAACAACAGCGGTCACCCCACCAATCCCGGCATGAGCTCCATGAGTCAGATGTTCCAGCTGCAGCGAGAGGCACCGCAGGTCACCAAGCAGGACCAGGTATCGGCCAGCGGAGGAGCCTCCGCTCCTCCAATAGCTACAGTGCACTGTGATGTCTGTTCCAAACGTTTTACCAACGTCTTCGCCATGCGTCGCCACCGGGCCAAGCAACACGACTCGCTGCCTTCCGCCCAGGATTCCCCCAACTCCCAGACTCAGACACCGACGCAGTCACAGTCGCAATCCCTGCGCGGCAGTCCCAACGAACCATCGCAGCAGACCATTAAGCAGGAAATGCCGCAGGAGGTGGAGCAGCTCAAGCCGTACCAGTTGCCCGAGGGCTTCCGCGAGGACTTCACCTTGGAGCAGGAGGAGCTGAGCTTCGTGCCACCACCCCGGAAGCTGCCGTCGCACCTACAACAGCAGGCCAAGGAAGCCAACTTCAGTCCGGACAAACTGCGTCGCCTGGGCGTCCAGTTCCCGGAATTCTACTGCGAACTGTGCCACCGGGAGTACGCCAACAAGTACTTCCTGCGCACCCACAAGTGGAAGCGACACGGTCTGTTCGTGCCACCGGAAGACGTGACACCACAGCAAGCTGGCAAGGAGGAGGCCCAGATGAGTGCCTGGCCCTTCATGCCGTTAAATCTGATGCTGGCCAAGGCGGCGGCAGCCTCAATGGATCAGCAGGAGCTGGACCAGGAGATAACGGAGGCGGAAGCTGATGCTGAGCAGCCCAACAAGCGAATCAAGCTGGAGCAGCAGGAGCCGTCGCCGCCGGAGGGCTATGATGAGGAGAAGCTGAACGGGTCGGTGGTTGGACTGCAGAATCTCCAGAAGCTCCAGTCCATGCTTCAACAGCTAAATGACATCAACGGAAAGCGTCCTCTGCCCTGTCACCTTTGCGGCAGGGAGCTGGAGAACCAGTATGCGCTGAGGGCTCACCTAATGACCGAGCACGCGGGCCAGATGCAACTGCCCATGCCCATTCCCATTCCCCTGCCCGATCAGCAGGCATCTCATCCCATGGCCGGCTTGTATCATCCCCAAACTCCACCAGGACCCGGGGCTAGATCCTCGCCCATCGGCGACCTTCGTTGCCAGCAGTGCGATCGAGATTTCGCCACCGCCCAGGAATTCAAGCAACATATCGCAGAGGTGCACATGGTCGGCCGGAATGGCGGACTCGGTGGTAGTCCCCTGCGCGAGGGCTTCTTCACCCCGGAACGGCCGGTGCCGCCACCAGCTGGGGCAGGAGGAGCTGTCCCAGCCGGAGCTACACCGGGCAATCGTCCGGCTTACACCATCACACCGACCAGTAGCTACTGCGAGATTTGTAACAAGGAGCTGTGCAACAAGTACTTCATGAAGACGCACATGCAGCGGATGCACGGCATCGAGATAGAGAACGGAGCCCAGATCGGAGGCGTTGTGTGCAACATCTGCAACAAGGAGCTTTGCAGCAAGTATTTCCTGCGGGTGCACAAGCACAACACGCACGGGATCATCGAGGAGGGCTCTCCGCTGCCACAGCCTCGTGGTCAGAACGGCGTTAAGATGGAGGCAGCCGCCGCAGCAGCAGCTGCCGCAGCTTCTCAGTCCCAATCGCAGCCAGCGGCAGCTCAGCAGCAGGATCAGGAGATGAATGTCTCGCCGCCCACAGTGGAGGGCGGTTCCAGCTCCAATTCATCTGGCACAAGCCACGAGGTGTGTCCGCTGTGCTCGCGACAGTTCCGCAGCTTCAAGTGGCTGCGTTCCCATCTGATGAACGAGCACGGATCCGCGGGAGTGGAACGCCTCCGAGAGATGGAACCCACTCAGTCCTCGGGACGCAGCAAGCCCAACAGTCCAACGCTCAAGATACCCAACGGCAGTGGCAACGGTAACCCGACTCCGGGGGGAGCGGGAGCTGGAAATGCCGCTCCCAATCTCGCCCAGGCCCTGCAGAACCTCAATGCCCAGCACCTCTTCGGCCAGATGCAGCAGCAGCAGCAGATGCCCAAGATGCCGCCCCTGCCACTGCCGGGAATGTTTGGTGAGCAGGCAGCCAGATTCAAGGAGTACCAGTGCTCACTGTGTCCCTTCACCACGCCCTACTACGCCTTCCTCTTCATCCACGAGCGCTCCCATGCGCTGCTTAACAACGGAGGCGAAGGCATGGAACTACCCATGGAGACACCGCCGCCACAGCCAGCGAGGAACCCGGGAAAGTCGCGCAGCAAGTCCAGCAAGACTGCAGCAGTGGTGGTGGCACCTCCAGAGCCCGCGGAACTCCCTGTGGAGCCCACCAATCTCAGCACCTCCGCTGCTAAGATCTCGCCATCAGCCGGATCTCCATCCAACTCCTCCCCCAAGGCAACCAGCTCAACTGCTTCTCCCAAGATTCAACGTCGTCGATCTTCCTCGAAGCCACCAACCACGCCCAACGGCTTGGCCAGTGGTAGCAATGGAATCGTAGCCGGACACGGAAGTGGTGGCCACCGCTCGGCAGCCACCTCGCCCTTCGAGGGCTGCGGAGAGCTGGCCAACGGTAGCGGCAAGCCGGCGAGCTACGCCCAGCCGGATCGGGCCGAGGAAGCATATCAAATGCAGGCCTTCCACCTGCAGCCCGCCGACGCCGACTCGGAGATGCAGTTCGCGCCGGCTTTGGTGTACCTGCCGGTGCGGGTGCGGGCCTCGGAGTCGGCCACGCTCAGTTTCCGGCTAACACCGGCCTAAAGTGCAGCATGCAACAGGTATATAGTGTTGCCAGCAGCAGCGTAAGTTACAAACCATAGTCACCATTCAGAAATCTTTGGGGGCCTTGGTCACTCGTAACAAGATAGGAAAGTCCAGAAAACAGAGAGCAAAGGCAGTTTTGCTTTACAAAATCATGCATTATTTCCCCATTCCGAATATATATTTTCTAGTTTCAAAAGTTTTTTACGATTTAAATTCCAAAGAGTGACCAAAAGCCCGTCAGAGAACCACAGAAATCCCCACAAAATAGGTAAGCAAACGAAGTTAGGAACATGAACAAGACAAAATAGTGGAACTACAAAAGACTGAGTGCGCATATTAGTTGAGCTCATAATTAAACTTAAATATACAAAAAACCAAAATAACAACAATAATAATCGATCAATATCTACGCCCAAGTTCACCATGTCCAACATGGCACTGATCATAAAATCTATAGCCTATAACTCAACAAGAACAAGTCCGTTTCAGCTGGCAACACTGTGCTAACCGTCGAAATAAGATATATATTTTGATAGACGCATGACATAGCATAAAGCATAACATACCGCAACCTATAACATATATCTCTAGTGATTAACTATCAAAGTTCCTATGCGTAATCGTAGTTTATCGTAAACGAAGAACCGGAGTTCGTAGACGAGCAGGTGGAGTCGGAGGAGAGGAATCTAAATACGTACATAATGCATAAGCTGGACAGGCGGAGGGGAGGCGGAGAAGGGAGGAAGGAAAGAGGAGGAGTCAGTGCTATATATGCCACTTAGAGGGATATAAGTATAAAGCAGTAGCAGGAGCATAAAATCAAAATTTAAATTATACACTTCTCATCTAGATATGGCTATTTGGGTTTTAGAATAGGGCGGACAGATCCCCGGGGGATCCGAGCACGTAAAGGTATATATGTGCTACGATCATATATATATAGGCATTTAAACGATACAATATGGTAAAGCTTCAGCACAAACAAATTGCTCAAAGTCAGGATCTTTATAGCGAAGACTATACACTCTTAGGATGTTCTGAACGAAGGCCCCGACGGAGATCTGCACTTACTTTGATTGCCACACTCTATAAAAAAACTACATATATCCAAGGAATGTCTTCACTTAAAACATGTATTTCCAGCGCACAATGTGTACATAAAAGTTGTTAAAGATATAGTTCAGATATCCGGCAGAAGGGGGCAGGGACGGGAGGAGGGAGAACTAGCGCCAGACGGTAAAAATTAAGAACATTTAAACAACTCAGGGCAAAAGTACAATGACCATTAGTACTTTTTTATACAAGAACATATTTAAAGAAAGCAAAACGTAAACAATTAAATTATTACCAACATAATAAATTAAATATATATTATGAAACGTTAAAAAAGATAACAAAAATGCTACCTCAGACGGACTTGAAAACAATAATTTAAATAAAACAAGAATTTATAGAGAAAGATCTATAAAAATTCAAACAGAAGCAGAAAATAACCCCTAGAGCTAAATCTAATTTTTTTGTAGTAATTTGACCTCAAACCAGGATTACATTTTATACTTTATTCCCTATGATTTAATGAATTATTTTAATTTAAGCATTCCAATGATTAAAGACACAAACTAGTCGCATAACTAAGAACCAAAGCATTCTAGTCAAACGTTTAGAAATAAACATAATAATAGTAACGATAAAACCAAAGCCAAATCAGATCCATCAACTCATCCGTTTTGGACGGCGATTCTCACAGATTATTTTGTAGTATTTAAGGAATTTGTTCTTCAGTGAGAGGAGTCGCCCGGGACGAGTTGATGGCTCCGGGGTCCGGCGAAGATCCATTTGCTATATTCGAAATTTTCTTTTTTTAAAAACGTGTGTTTTTTAAAATGCTGCGTGCCTTTTAGCAAATACTTTGCCGAGTCCCGAAAAGCAAACCGACATTTGAGCCCTAAAATCGAAATGAAAATAGATATAGCTACAAATATAGACCATAATTTTATTTTATATATTCTACTTAATTATTAGTTCTTATATATTATTTGAAATGTGTGTATATATGTACCGAATAAATGTCATGCAATTTGTATTTGTTAAACTTGAGATTCTTTTATTTTTTTCCAAGATTATGTTGCTTATTTCCCTCTCGGACAAGCCACCATTTATTATTATTTTTCACCCCGATTGAAGTGTGCCAGACTCGAGCCGCAGGCAGGGTTACAAATGTATATCTCAAGGTCTTAAAAAATCACATTCTTCAACTTATTGACTGTGAAGTTGTCGCCGATAGGGGAAGACCTTTGTTTCCTTTGTTTTTTTTTCGGTTTTTTTTAGACTGAGTTCCCATAGGGGACCTTCATCTTTCGGGGTGTTATATGCTGGTTCAACGCCTTGGCTTCTTCAATTATTAAATTGCCATTTAATTCAATTTGTCAACAATGGTTTGAGTGCATATCTGCAACTTGTTTAAAAAACTAAACCCCCAAGCAGCTGGATTTTCTTTTTTAAATATTTCCAAAAAGCAGCACCCTCATAAAAAAAAAAGAAAACTGTTTCCGGTTTTTGGGACTCACACACACACACTGACCAGCCACCCCTGATTAGTATGTTTGCATTAAAAAATACATCTATTTGAATGGAAAAAACAGAGGAATGCGATAACAAAAACCCAGCATGGTCATGTGAGGGTCAAGTTGGAGGGTCGGGTCAGCAGCTGCTGCAGTTGTGTAAAAAATTCCAGTCGTAATATCCAAAAATCGATACTGCTGTCGCTATGCCACTGGCCTTTATTAAATGCAGCCACCCTCTGAATTTTCCTCTCGATTTTCTCCCATTTTCGGCAGTTAATTATTTGTCACGTGTCCATGCAAATTTCATCTCATTGATTACGGCCAGATATTCGATACTTTTCCGGCGTGTAGCTGCAATTAAAGATTGACTCAAGCAACAACCCCCAGCCAGGTTGGCCAGGGGGATGGATATGAGATGGTGGTAGGCAAATCTGGCAAATATTTTTCCCAATTTATCCCGAAATATTTTCTATTGAATTTTTATGGCAATTTGGGAAAATCGTCCGCCAGCAGAGCAGCTATTTTTAGGGCGCAAACAATTGACCAGAATGCAGCCTCTACCCCGTGGGGTTTCTGCATCGATTTAAGGGTGTTGCGCCGATATTTGCATGTTTAAAAGTGAACTGGAAAAATTGCAATTTATGAAAAATGTAATGAAAAGAAATAAGGAACAAAAATTGCATTTGCCAAGGGTGATTTAGGCGCAACCCCCGAAGAAATGCTATGCAAATTATTTATTTCATTTTAGGCTCGAGTCTTGGCAATGGCTTTCCATTTATTTTATTTCGTTGAATTTTCGCTTTATTGCAACCCCCATGCCCCTTCAAAAAAGAGCGCACAAATCAAAAGAGATAAGCGAATATGTTTTATAAAACGAAAAAAAAAAAACTAAATAAATTTTACAACAAAAACCCAAAGACAACTTGCAACGTACCTTGAGCATAAATCAAAATTTTGTACGACCCCGCCGGATGCAAGTCCGGCAAGGTCCACAGCAAAAACGACAACAAAATCAAAAATACAATTTTAGAGCATTAAGCACAAAACAAACAAATTACACTCTTAATAAATATTTTAGTTGTAGGCCTAAGAAAACATAACAAAATACTTTGGAAAATAATATTTAATAGATGTTGAGATTAAAACCAGAAGAGAAAAATGAAGATAAAAAGCAACACAAAGACGTGAAAGAGCGCAAAATCAAAAGCCACGAGCAAAAATCAAAACAAAATTAAATTTAAATTTACTATAAATTAAAAACCAAAGCGAAAACCAAAACCAAACATTTATTTAGCAATTGGCAAATGTATGAGATATATACACTAATATATCGATATATATACACATATATATATTACATATATTTAAACAATTTTACTTTGTTATTACGTAAAACTATGTGTGAGGCAAAAAATCAAAAGAAACGCAAGGCAAACTTGAACAAAATAATTTATATTACGATATACGTGAAAATGTGAAAGAGCAGAGAATCAAAAACGGTGGAAAAACCAAAAATTTTCATTTCATTGTAAGTGAGCATTTATCAAAAATTGTATGTGTTTTAAATTGATTATATTAAATATATATACAAATACATATAAATAAACTTTAAACTGCATCAACTGGGGGTGTCCTCTGGCAAGGGGGAAAAATCAAGGAGTTACCTCTCCTGAGGCTCCAACAGTTCGACTTCTGTGAAGCGAATGCACTCGTTGCGGCTACACAAGTGTCATCATCTCGAGCCTTAAAAGTGCTTAGGTCGCCCTGTGATTCCTGCGATTCCCATTCAAAGTCGGCGAGGGACTTGTCTAAGCTGATTCTGCGACCCTTGAGACTGGAATGCTACCCACACCACTCCCACATCACTCCCAGCTAACATGAGGGAAATTTCAACTTTTCCGAGTTTTGACATTTGCTTTCAGCTTTTCATTATCTGCACAAGGAGGCAGGGATGAACTGAAGTGCACTAAGAGAAATTAAGCCATGATTTATGGATAGTTATAATTAAATTTGTATTTCTAGGCATGGAAGTTTGCTTACATTCTTTGGTATGAAAGGTAAGGTAACACCACAAAGAATATATTTTAACTTTAGCCGGTTATTCCAATTATTTTTATTTATTATTACATCAATCAACAAATTTAGAATCTTGGTACTACCCATTTCCAGTGATTACATATCCTAGAAATACCCATTAGAAATAATTAGAAATACCCACTATTGTGACTTCAAATTTATCTTAGTGCATAGGTCAGAAGAGGCGGCAAAGGAAACTTAATCCTCCACCGACAACTGGAGATGGTCCTGCCATTTTGCTTGTTGCTACCCTCTAAGCAGTTCGAGCATTGCGAAATCAAAGTATGTCAATATTTGTATTACAAGGGACACTCACTGTAGCCGTAATGGGCAACAACAATGCCCGTGGAAATGTCTTATCAATAATTTTTGTTAAGAATGCGACGAAATCAATTCCGATCGGGGGGGCTGGAGATGTGCGTCAGGCGGCGCGTGTTCCTGACAGCTCCATAGTTTCCTCTTGTCCTGTTGCCCAGCTAACCCCCGGCCGAACTTCAACTTCCTGGAGGAAACAAACTTGTTCATAATTTTCGGGCCGACAAGAAGGGAGAACATTTTTCGGGTGAAAACATCAAAACGAGTGAGTATTATAAATGTTCACAATATGTGAAGGAACAGTTTGGAAAAGTTTTGGGTACAGTTGCCAAAAACTTTTAGCAGGCCAACATGAAAGTTTATTCTGAATTGTGGAAAGATCAACTAAGAGAAGAAATATTTAATTTTGAACACAAATGTTATTTCTTTTAAACCTTTCTATATGATCTTCTCTTCTAATTAAACCCCATTCTTTACCTTAAATATGTCCACTATCCTTTTCCTCTAATTCATTCTAAATTGAAACCATCCATCAATGACAGCAATTGCTCAAAAACTTCATGAATTAAATTATTGTTTTCGTCGTTCTTTTTAGATGGATTGTGTGTGGGAAATTAGTTTTTAATCGATTTGACAGAGCTTCGCACGCAGGACACACACTGGTCACAAATTACAGGCCCGAAATACTCATTGAACGCCATTAAAGGCCAAAGCCAGGACATCGCCCACTTATACCACATGTGAACTGAGTGTGGCCATACATAACATACATACACACATTTACGAGTAATTTCAACTCTCAATTAAATTGTTTAGGCGGCGCCAGGCGCAAACAACAATTTTTGTTGTCACCATATGCTTTGGAAACGCTTTCCATTTTCAGCTACATTTTCCATACCCCTCAAAGGGAGGCGACTAAAAGTATTTCGGTTTTGTGGTAACCTTACGATATTGGGAATACCTTGCAAGGGGTTTTTTAACCTCTCATAATGATAAGTTGTTTTTAATTTATAATGAATATCAACTTTTTAATTATAGCTTTGTTAAGTTATATTTAAACTATATGTATTTCAAAATCAAAAGTCCAGGGTATTCTACATTTGTATCCAAGTATAAATTCCCTTGTGCTTTTATGGGACTTCGTTTCATTGACCGCTTGCCGAGTCCTTGGAATGTGTCAAAAAAAAGGAAAACCCAATTCTTGGGTGAACACAAACAACAGCTACAAACTTTAATAATTTAACTTATGGATTTTTTCGGCGCTGTTTAGGGAGCTGGGGTAAGTATTTGTTATTTCGTTTTCTCATTTTCCAAATGTATATCGCGGCAAGGGGACGGAGGGAGTGGGGGTGGGTTTTTCATTTGTTTTCCCCCTGGCATATGCACATTAGTCCTGGAAATGCGGCAATTTAAATAAATGACGCAAAAGGACACGCACCAAAGACGAGTGGTGGCAGTAGGTTTCCCCTAATGACTTTTCAGAACGCGACTAAAATTGTTCTGGCTTTTCCCTTTGCATAAATTTTCATTGAAGTCTCGCATTTTTAACTGGAAAATGTAACAAAATGGAAGAGAATTCGAAGAATATTTTTCAGACAAGGTATTTTAGTCATATTATTATGGCACATGAGGAAAATTATACCTTTATTCCAGTGTCCAGTCACGGTCCTGCATGCATATCTTGGCCATGATCTAATTAGCTAAAGATTTCAATCAAATAAATTTTAATTTAAGTTTAAAACGTACTTGTAGTACAAATAAATGTACACATAAGTATTATATAATCATTAGAAGATTACAAAGTGTGGATTATTACAAAAATGAACCGATAATTTTCTTGAACTTAAGCTTAAGCCTCTCCATAAGGCATGAGGAGCTGCCGGATTAGCTCGATGGGGACTAACGCCTTGGAAAAGCCAGCTTCCATCAGTTCCTCATCCTCATCCTCTGGCACGACGAAGAGGGATTCCTGTTCGAGAGATTGCTGTATCAGTAACGCATTGGCATCCCGCCGAAACAGCTGAACTGCCTGGTAGGCATCCTTCTGGACCTGCTCAAATATCTGCTGAATTGCTGGATCCATCAGATCGAAGGCCGTTTTCGGCTTGGGCAACCTCTGGCCGGCCAGCTGCAGTTGATAGAGCAGGCGCCGCACTATAAAGCTGGCAAACCTTATGCGGCGAAACTCCTCGAAGCGACGAATGGGCACGTCCCAAAGCTCCTCGACCCCACTGTGCAGAAGAGCCACCTGGTAACCGTAATAGAACGTTACACACACCGCCAACCATAGACACAGGACAAGGTAACATTGAATGTAGAGGCTGATATCTATCAACATAGTGATTCCTCCGATGATCAGGCAGGTGGCGGCCACTCTCCCGTAGTGACGCTGCAGCCAAAGGTCCAGGCCGGTTTTGATAATGTTCAGGGCTCTCATGTCCGGTCGTAACTCACATGTAATTTTGATGAAACTGATATTTATGGGTGATCTAACTTGATTTAAAATACTTGGCCGAATTGATCTTTAGACCTTAATATTTTGTATAACAAGACACATAACGGAGCTGAATGATGTAATGATATAATTAAATACAATTTTATTGATAAATGTTGAGTCTATGATTTAATCACACCCGATAATGATCATTAATTTAATCCTAATGAGTTCATTGGGTAATTTTCGACACACAATTCCCATACTCTTCGCACATCGTACAACCCGCAACCCTTATCTAAAGGATCTCTTATCTAACTTTGCCAAGGACTGCATCCCTTTAGCCGTTCCAGTATGAAGCCAAAACAAACCAAGATGCGAGCGAAAACCGAAGGCACGGATTTATTTCAGTTTTGAGATTTTTTTCTCCGCTGCTGCTCCTTGTGCCTTTTCAATTGGGATACACACAGCAGCCTCCTCATGGTCATGTGCGTGCGCTTCAGCCAGAACTCCTTGGCAGGACTCTTTGAGTCCGAGTTTAAGGCTTGGGCTGAGGGGGAATAGGTTGAACGGGCGTTGATGAGGAATAAAACTTGCCGGCCGAAAGGACTCGCACACACACGCATCGGTGTGTACTTGTACGGTTGCGTTGTGGCAAGGACGAGGGAAAAGGACATCGGACGTCCAGCGAACGAACGGAAGCAACAAGAGGGCAAAAAATTTTTTCCTTTTGGCATGAAAGTTGAGAGAAAAATAAGAAGAAAATTGTAATTTTCATCAAGCGAAAAAAACTTTTTTTTTGTATTTCATTTCAGCTTGACCTTAAAAGAAAATTAGATGCTCGTGTTGGGGATTCATTCATGTGTGTGTGTGTGTGTGTGCAGGATATATGTATCCTGCGTGAGTATGTATGTATGTGAGAGTGGGGCGGCTATCGAACGAAATTCCAAAATAAAAAGAAAAATTTAACGCAAAAAGGCAAAGTTTTTGGGGGAGTGCCGGAGCAAGGATAAGGTTGCCAGGATAACTGGGGACGGGAGGCCATGTGTGTGTGTGTGTGTGCGGGATGCTGTGGCGGTCTGTTCTCCAATTTCCAAGCCAAACCAGCTGGCCATCTCAAGCGAGGGTGTCCTTTGAATTACTATACGTGTGTGTGTGTGTGGGGGTTGGAATGTATGCTAAAGTGAAAAGTAGTAAATTGAACTTTCTTCCTTCTCGTCCTTTCCATCTGCTCCTGCTCCTGGCTCGTTTTTATATTTTTGTGGGCAATTTGTACTTTGTCTGCGTTCAGCACTTTTTGCAGTTGTTGCTCCGGCCACTTTTCCACTTTTCTTTTCACTTTCATTTTACGGCTATCCGCATTTCGGATTCCGGAATTCGGAAAGGGAATTTCTGGGGATTTTCTTTGCGACTTTCATTGGTCATTCGTTATTTATCGCTTTGCAAATTAAAGTTGAGCCGCACCAAACTTGCCAAATTATTTGTAGTCATAAATATTAACCAAGATTCCCCCCGCTACTATCATTAATTAAAAGCTGATAAGCAGATAATAAATTGAAAAATCCATCAAAGGTAGCAGCATGTCTCAATGCATATATGTTATATATATTGCTGCTGATGGAGTAGAACTCATAATGTCAGGATTGACTTGACAGCAACAGACCAGTTCGGGACTGTCCTTGTTGGGGAAAGTAACAAAATAAAGGCTATTGTATTTACAAGACAAATTCGTTGTGTGATAACCATATATTTATCTTTAATTTATAATTTCAACATTAAATACTTCATTAAGTTCCACAAAATGCTTTTAATTTGAAAACCCTTTTAAGAAAATATACTAGAAAATTGTATTCTTTAAAATGATTTCAAATCTCCAGAGTTGACAAGTTACCTATACCTATACAGGTCGCTATGACTAGAGACACTTCCTTGGCCTAGCAAGGACTCTCCTTAGCAATGTCCCACTGTATGTATAAATGATGACAATAAAATTGCTTCGCCTGGGTCTCGCCTCCTCACGCGTATGTGTGTGCGTATCTGTTTGTTTGGCAATCAGCCATGACAGCCAGGAATAAGACTATGACTACGACTACGACTTCGATGACTACGAATTCCAATTCCCGGCCGAAATCTACCCCCTCCTGGCCATCACTTTCCCTGCAGTGATTTTGCAATGAAATTCGATGGCTCCGCTGGGGAGTTGGGCCAAAATAAGCCTCATTATGGAAAATCAATAGAGACGAACGTAACTTTAGACCTTGCCAACTACGGAAAGGAAATGGCATCAGCAGGAGGGGGGCGATGAATGGGAAAAGTGGCAGGAACACGTGGAAAAAATAATGACAAGGAAATCTGTAAAAAATAAAAGGGACATTTCTAATTATATTTATAAATATAACATCCTAAAACTATAAATCCCATAGTTTTGGAACCTTTTTCATGGGATTCAAAACTCTTTTTTTTTAAGGTATATATGACTTTAAAAAGCTTTAAGGGGGTCTTCTCATTCAAAAGCCGTTTTTTGAACCCTTTTTAAAAAAATTCTTATTTGAAAACGCAAAGAATAATTGAGAACTTTTTTTATTTATTGTATTCAAAAATGTTCAAAGTAACTAAAAAAGTTGTTCTTGCCTCGATACGAGGGTTGTTCAAAGAGTAATGAGACTTCAAACTTGGTGGTCGAAAAAAAGGTGTCGTCCTGGCGGCCACGATTCAGGGTCTCCAGAGCGTCCGAAATGAAAAATAAAAACGGGGTTATAATCAGAATTGATGTCATTTTCGGGTGACGGAACAGATTTTTTTTAAAATTTTTTTAAACAAAATGGCGACGATTCAAAAAAAAAATTTCGATTTCGGGCGTTTTTTTTGTAGTTTAGTGTAAAAAAAAATTGAAAAAAAAATTTTAAAAAAAATCTGTTCCGTCACCCGAGAATGGTGACAATTCTGCGTCGACTCCACTTTGTTTCATGAAAATCGGTTCAGTTGAACTGGAGATATCATGGCCGCCAGTTCGAAAAACGTGGTTTCGAGATAAACGCGTTTGAAGTTTGAAAAAAGCTCATTTTGCGAAGAATTTGCTTCACAAAAAAGGCTGTATCTTCTAAAGTATTTCGAATTTCTAAAAATCCTTTTGGGGACATATACACACCATCCCAAGCTATAAATAAATGCAAAAAAAAAAAATCGAAAAAAAAAAGTTGCCCAATGAGAAGACCCCCTTAAATTTCGAAATAATTATATGGCACATAGAATTTATCTCTGATTTTTAGAAACAAGGCTAAAATCTATATTTCTACGTTATGATTTATTATAAAATATTTTTACTGTGCATTTTAATATTATGGACTACGCATTAAACAAAATTTCGATACAACTAGACCCAAAACACACCCAGCCACCCACTGTCACTCCCCAGATCCTACCAAAAAGACACAACAAACAAAAAAAGGAGGCAAAAACAAAATTAATTAATTTATGTGCCAGCCGGAATTTTCCATGGCAATACTACACACAAACACACACACACAGCAGCGACAACAATCTATTGATACAATTTTTCCAATTTCAACGCTTGTTGTTGTTGGTTTACTTGCTGTTGACAACAAGAGGAGCATGAGCAACAGCAACAACAACAACATAGGACTCATTACAAAAACATAATAACAAAATAAATATTGAAAGAAATGGCATAAAATTATAAAAGCCTTGTCCACCACAAGGAAAAGTGCCAGCAACAGACCGAAGTGAAAGTGGAGAGGCCTCCCCCAAACCTACGGAAAACTCGGAAAAACTCCGCCCCCAAAGCGCCAATAAATTTTATGCACTATCACACGCACACACACTCGCACACACATAAGCCGCCCTATTAATATTATCGTGCGACTCACCTGGTCTCTTTCAATGGCGAATTTTCTGCCAGACAGTTTGTATGCTAATTTGTGAGCTTAGGCCGCCTCACAATGGCCCCTTACACACACACACACAGACACACACTCGCATACCGACACATCACACACTCACTTACTCGGAGGAAGTTGTGTTTTTCACCGCGCTCCGCTAAATTATCCTTTTAAGCCGGTTAAGCGTGTCAGGTATCCTGAAAAAGGCGTGTAGTGTAGTGTGAGACTCCCAGGTACACAGGTACGTACCCGGATCGTTCCTGGCTTCGGCTCCACTAGGCCCCGGACGCCCAAAAGTTTTTTGGCAATCCAGGCCGCCTCAGGAACCGGTGGACAGGGGGGAGGGGGAACTCCAGCCTCTCTTCCCAGCAGACGCCTTCCACTCTCGCTGCTTTCCACTTTCCACAAGCCTTTCCCCGCGTTTTCTTTTTGGCACTCAAACACAGCTGATCGCAGCTGATCCAGTGTTGTGTAACGCTTCCGCGGGAGCTTGTACAGCCGCGCCTAACAGCACACTTTAGTGTTGGAAAGTGCCTGCGGTTAAGCTTTCCCGCCCTGTGCCGTTTTAAATTTTTAATTTAAATCGACATATTAATTAATAAATTTTATTAATTGCCAACCCGGAACCGTGCAAGGTCGCGCAGCTGGCAGGCGGAAAAAGGTCTCGGATCTGACCAATTTCCGATTCCCCGCCTAGGCGGTGTCCCGAGCAAACGGGCTTCGGGGACCGAGTTGGGGCGGTATATCCCCCCGTCGTAGAGCCAGGGGGAAATTCTTGGCCAGCGTGGGAGCCCTGCGCGGACTGACTAGCCGGATATGGAGGAGGAAAACCCCTGCGCGGGCAGGTCTGCACTAGCGAGCTCGCCATGTGCACCGAGGGATGAGGAGGAGGAGGCGGCGTTCGGGAGGAGCAATAAGCTCTCCCGTACGCCACCGATGTACGAGGCCCAAGAAGGTGGGCAGAGCACAGGCTCTACGCCGCCCCCTAAGAGGTTGAGGGACCCGGCTAGCCCGACTAGCTCACCGAGAACTACGCCGGCGAAGAAGAGCAAGGCTTCAGAGAAGGCAGCCTGCCTGCAGGATCTGCAGGAGATGGGCAATCTATTACAAGAGGTCTCATCGAGAATGATGGATAAGTCGACGCGGCATATCACCGTGCCGCTGAGGGAAATGATTGCCAGGGTGAAAACCCTGCACTCGAGCATCCTTGCGGCAAGCAGAGCGGCCGCGGCAGGAGTCAGCGACAGGCAGGAGAGCCGGGTCGCAAACAACCTGTGCCGGAAATGCGCCCAGATTACCAAAAGCGCGGACAAGGAGCAGCAAACGGTGACCACCTGGAAAAAGGAGGCCGCGGCCCAAACCGAGCCTTGGAGAAGGCTAAGCCAGCCAGATGCGCCGGGATTACCCGCACCGGTGCTGGCCCCGCCACCCCCTCGCCCAGCGCAGCAGAAAAGCGCAAGGGCGCCCAAGAAGCCCCGTGCGAAGCCGCCAGCGGCGGTGCTTGATGCATCGGAGCAGCATAGGCCAGCTCGGAAGCCTGAGAGCCAGGCAATCCCCGTAAACGACTGGGAGGTCGTGGCGAGGAAGCCGAGAACAGCGCGCCGCACTCGCCCGGACGCTGTCATTGTCCACGCGAGCGGCAAGTCCTACAGCGAGGTGCTCGCAATGGTTACGAGGAGAGAGGACAAGCAGCTGTCGGACCTGGGACGCTGCGTGTCAAAGGTTCGCCGAACCAACAACGGTAACCTGCTCCTGGAGGTGGCGAAAGGTAGCGCCGAGAGCGCCACGACAATGAGGGAGAGCATCGAGAAGGTACTCGGAGATACAGCGTCGGTGCGCGCAACGACAGAGGACTCAAAAGTCCTCGTCTTGGAGGTGCGCAATATCGAGCCGATCTCGACGAAGCAGGAGGTCTGCGCCGCACTCGCGGGCCAGTTTAACTTCGAGGCGGAGAGGGTGAAAGTGCGGAGCATGCGCCGCAGTTTTGCTGAAACCCAAACTGCGATAATCAGCCTTCCCGTATCCCTTGCCAAAGCCGTCCTCCATAGAGGTGAAGTTCGGATTGGATGGACCATCTGCAGGATCCGGGAACGAAGTGGTCCCGTGAGGTGCTTCAGATGCCTAGAACCTGGGCATATTGCGATCCACTGCAAGGGCCCTGTGGACAGGAGCGGTTGCTGCATTAACTGCGGCGAGCCGGGACACAAGGCGGCTTCGTGCAACAAGGAGCCGTCTTGCTTCATATGCTCCGCGGCCGGAAGGAAGGAGACGAGGCACAAGGCAGGCGCCAGGGGATGTCCAGCCTCGAACAGTGGGTATGCGAATCCCAAGCCTGCATGCAGTTGATTCAACTCAATCTGAATCACTGCAGGGCTGCGCAGGATCTCCTGTCGCAGACGGTGCGGGAGCTGGGCTCGGAGGTGGCAGTCCTGAGCGAACCCTACAGGGTCGGTACCAGCCGCGTCTGGGCCACTGACCGCTCTGGCAAGGCGGCCTTGTGGCTCTGCGGAGCGGATGCTCCGGAGATGTGCGACACCAAAGCAGCGGAAGGCTTTGTCCGGGCGAACGTCGGCGGCACTTGGCTGTACAGCTGCTATCTGGCACCCAGTCTCTCATTGGAGGCGTTCGGCAGGATTCTGGACGAGCTGAGCAGCGATCTGCGTGGGCGGAGCAACGTCGTGGTCGGCGGCGACTTCAACGCCTGGGCCATGGAATGGGGATCCTCCCGGACCAACGCCAGAGGCCGAGCGGTGCTGGAGACCTTCGCCTCTCTGGACGTAGTCCTTCTGAACGAAGGCTCCCGGCAGACCTTCAGCAGGGCCGGGGTGGGCTCGGTAATCGACCTCACCTATGTCAGCAGTGCGCTGGCCAGCCGCGCCCGATGGAAGATCAGCGAGGCCTATACCGCCAGCGACCACGAGGCTATCGAGTGCTCGATAGGCGCCGCGCATCGCACGAGTGGGTCCCTACTCCCGGATAGGAAGGCGTTCCGGCAAGACACCTTCAGGCCGCGGGATTTTGCATATGCCCTCGAGGGCTTCACGGCAGGCGAAGCAGACGGAGCCAACGAGACGGCCGACAAGCTGGCATGGGCCGTGGACGGCGCTTGCAGGCAAAGCATGCTACTGAGAAGGCCGTTCAGAAAGCACCACTCCCCGGTGTTTTGGTGGAGCGAGGAGATCGCGGACCTGCGCCGTAAATGCCACCGCAGCAGAAGATTGATGCAGCGAGCTAGAGGCACCCCGCGCCTTCTTGCGTGCAGCGACCGCTACAAGGCAGCAAGAAAGGAGCTTAAGACTGCCATTAAGAACAGCAAACGAGAATGCTTCCTCAAGCTGTGCGACGCCGCCGAGGAGGATCCATGGGGAGGAGCCTACAGAACGGTAGTAAAGAGGCTTAATGCGGGTGGCTGTGCCCCAACCGACCCGGCGACGCTGGAGAGGATAGTTGGCTCCCTGTTCCCGAGCGGTCGGCAGGTCTTGATCTGCCCCAGCACCGAGTTGGGCGACATCCGTTGGGTCACGGAAGCTGAGGTTCTCCTTGCCGGTAGAAGCCTGAAGCCCAAGAAGGCTCCGGGGCCAGACGCGATTCCGAGTAGAGCAACCAAGTTGACTCTATCGCTGCTGACGTCCGAAGTTGCCGGCCTGTTCAACAAGTGCCTTCTGGAGGGGACGTTCCCCGACAGATGGAAAAGGCAACGTCTGCTTCTGCTGCCCAAGCCAGGCAAGCCACCAGGAGAAGCATCGTCCTACAGACCGATCTGCCTGCTGGACTCGATCGGCAAGGTGTTCGAAAGGGTGATCTCAACCCGGCTGAGCCAAGCTATCGAAGCCGCTGGTGGACTCTCCCCGGAGCAATATGGCTTCACGAAGGGGAAGTCTACGCTGGACGCCATTGCAAAGGTAGTCAAATTGGCGCAGGATGCCATTGCCGGAACCAGGTGGAAAGGAGGAAGCAAGTCCTACTGCCTGGTGGTCACCCTGGACATCAGGAATGCCTTTAACTCGGCAGACTGGAGCCGTACGCTAGAGTCCCTGAGGAACTTTAACGTCCCTGGGTACTTGCTGAACGTAGCTCACAGCTACTTCAGCAACAGGGTACTCTTGTTGGACACGAGCATGGGTCCCAAAGAGCACAACGTCTCAGCCGGAGTCCCGCAGGGCTCTGTCCTGGGTCCTCTCCTTTGGAACGCAATGTACGACGGCGTGCTGAGGCTTCCGATGCCAGTCAGCACCAACCTGGTTGGATTTGCGGACGACGTCGCTATAGTGGTGGTAGCAAAGGAGCTAGCATCTGTGGAGGCGCGCGCGGACACGGCCATCCAAGCCGTAGAGTCGTGGCTGGCGGTTGCAGGTCTGGAGTTGGCGGCCCACAAGACGGAAGCGGTCCTAATCTCGAGTCGGAAGGCGGTGGAGACTGCTAGCGTGCTGGTTGGAGGGACGAGGATCCGGTCGCAGAGGGCGATCAAGTACCTGGGCGTTATCATCGACACCCGGCTGTCCTTCAAGGAGCACCTGGAGTACGTCCACCAAAAGGCTAGCGGCACGGCTGGAGCGCTCTCCAGGATGCTGCCGAACACTAGAGGTCCAAGGCAGTACACGAGGAAACTCCTCTCATCGGTGGTGACCGCGCAGATCCTGTATGCGGCACCAGTTTGGGCTGAAGCTATTTCGGTCAAAAGCTACATGCGAGGAGTGGAGGCGACTTACCGGCTATGTGCCATCCGGATCGCATGCTCGTTCCGGACAATTTCGGAGGACGCGGCACTAGTGATCGCAGGGCAAGTCCCACTGACGGAGCTCATTAGGGAGAGGAAGGAGATCTCCGAATCCCTACAGGACAGGCGATTACCACAGTCCTACGCTGAGGTGAAGCATACCGCTAGAAGAAGGAGCATGGAGAACTGGCAAGCTCGATGGGACTCTTCTCCGAAAGGCCGGTGGACGCACAGGCTCATCCCAGACCTAGCGCGATGGGTTGATAGGGCGCACGGCCAGGTGAGTTTTTACCTCAGCCAGGTGCTTAGTGGCCACGGATGCTTCCGCCAGTACCTGAAGCGCTTCGGCCACGAGGCGGAGGACTGGTGCCCGGAGTGCGGCTCCGGCATAGTGGAGGATGCGCACCACGTTCTCTTCGAGTGCCGCAGGTTCGGCCTCGAGAGACAGGAACTGGAGGAAGCAGCGGGATCCTCGATTAGCGCCGAAACCTTGGTGCCGAGGATGCTGGAAGACCCAAAAGTTTGGGAAGCGGCAGAAACATTTGCCGCACACGCCATGAAGACCCTCAGAGCGATGGAGCGAAGGCGGAAGGAGCGGCCGGAGTAGGGGCCTCCACGCCCGCGAAGCAATGCCTGGCGGCGGTACCGCACGGCGTGAGCTTCTATTCCCAAGTACCTGTTCCGTCTTGTCCTAGTTGTAACTTTAAGTGTATTATAGTTGATTAGTATTGTAAGATGGAATAAAAATAATTGGAATACAAAAAAAAAAACATAAGCCGCCCTGCAGTTCCAAAATTCCTCGCCCGTCCAATTCCTCGCGGTATGTTCGAAAAACAAAAACAAATTACATGGGCCTCGTTCAGCGAAGTTCGAAACAAAATAGCCGAAACAAATTCTACCTACGCTCGGCTACTGCCGAGGGCTTCACGAAGTTCGTTCTTCATATTTGTTATTGTTTTCGATCTACGTTCGGAGTAGCGGTTGCGAGAATTCGTAAATTAGAGAGAGATGGAGATGGAAGGAAGGGAGGAAAGAAAACTGGTGTCAAAAACAAAGAGTATTGCACCGACGTGAGAATGACCTTTTTAAAATAAGTAGAGTTATCTAAAAATATTTAAGATTATATTTAATTAATTTTTACGTATAAAATCGTGTGGGATATAAGCACGTAAGAAAATGTGCTTTAGACATGGCCGAAATGTTCATGTTCGATTATTTGCCCTTTGTGAATCTAATTGCAAGGCATTGCCCTGTCGGCTATACCCTAACACGCGCGAGAATTTTCGGTGTTCGGTTTTGTCTTCTAATTCTCTTTGCATTTTGAGTTGACTGCTGTTGCATTCAGAAGTGTTTTGCGTATTAGTTGCGTAAAAATGAAATATTATAAGGTAAGTGGAACTTATTTGCATTCAATTATTAATTTTAATTGCAGAATTGACGATTAAAATGGATGCGACTTCAACTTAGACGGTGTGAATGGGATTCAGTACGGATTTACAAAGTTTTTTTATCCAGTTTAAGTTGGTATGTACTGCAATTTACAATTTGATTAAAAAATATGTATGTACTTATGTATTTAATTTACAGATAAAACAAGTTTCTTAAAGTACCCAGCAGCCGGCAAAGGAGACTCGTGACACGCATATATACATGTTTAATTTTGCAGAAAAATGTAATGCTACCAAAAAAGTGAAGATAAATAAAAAAATGCAATCCATAAATAAATAAGGAATAAATTCATCGGATTTTTACTAGGAAGGGGGGGGATTTTTCAGGAATTTTCTATAGATTTTCATCTGGGATTCCTGGCGGATTCCGCTAGCGAATCCCGCAAGATTCGTCCACGATTCCCCCTGTGATTCACGCGCGATTCGTCGACGATTCGCCCCAGCGATTCCTTGACGATTCGTGCAAGATTATCTTTCGAAATTCCCGTGGACCATCCCGTGCGATTCGTGATGGATTCTTGGGCGATTTCGAATTACAGGCTGGGAGCACATTTTGTATGGAAATTCCTAGCCGAGTTGTATGAACGTTCCATGGCGAATCCTCATGGAATTATTTCGGTTCCATGGCGAATCGTAGGGGAATCGTTGACGAATGGAACTGAAGGGCGCTTAAGGGAAAAGCTAGGACGGGAGTGTATGTGTGTGGTCAGACTTTGAAAGTGTATCAGCGGGGGGAGTTTGCATTATTCACGTAAAAAAGGAGGGGCGAAAAAAAAGTAAATAATAATAAAGAACGCTAACCAATGACTTTTATACTTTTATCTCAGAGTTTCCATTCAGCAGAAACTGCGAATTAGGCCAAACAGCAGCAGAAATATATCAATAACTGCAGGGCCAGAGATAAGATAAAATTCCTTTAAATCTCCTAAAGCCAGCCTAAGTATCTGCTGGATACTAGATACTAGATACTATGTAGTGAATTTTTGTAAAATTACTTTTTCTGAATGATAATAAATATAGAACGAAATTATTAGAGAAATAAACTGTGTCATCAATTAAAAGATTCAATATAATACCTAGATGAACAAATTAAATAATAAATAAATATTAAGAATTAATTTGTAAATAACAACATTGCTTATATACCATTTAACGATGGATAGAATTATTTAAAAATATAGGTGCCTTAACACACTCGAAAACTAAAAACTATTTTAAAATTTGTTTGTAACCCAATTACACATTTTACTTAATATCTTGACCACAACTTTTATTTATAGATTCACTGAATAAAAAACAAATAAAAATTGACCGTGCTCACACACTTTTTAAAAATTCCTCCAAAACCAATGAATTCTTAAGCCCTCGAGTGCAACAGTAGGCCCTCAGACAATGGCCAGCATGTGAAGATGTTGAGCCTAACCAGGCGGCGCGTGTCTTGATTTAAAACCCATATATGTTCAACCCAAACTCACACGCAATTCTGCTAGAAAAAGAGTCAGTTTTAACACGAAAAAACCCAGGGAGTTTCCTTATCTTTAACACCCCAGAAAAACATATATACAAAATCCGGCTGCCCGCCGCGGACCCTAAGCCGAGGGCAAATACAGACGCGTGCGCCAATAATATCAGAATCGAATAAGTAAACAAGATCCATAAAAAAGTGTAAGATACTACCGGCCTGTATCGGATACGTGTGTAGTTTGTGTTTGTGTTTGAGTTTGTGAGACGGGTGGGTTGAGTTTTAAAAACCATTTGGAAGGAGACCCTCAAAATTCTGGAATCGTGGCAGCTGCTCTCCGAAATGTGAAATCCACACGCGTGCGAAGCGTGTATGTGAGTCCGTGCCCCCAAAACGTTGTCAAAGGAATCGACATAAATTTCATTAGAGTTTACAGTTCCGTGGCATTGTTGCACATGAAAAAGGGTTGGACATTTGTCCGAAATATCTCCCATATCGCGCTATCCAGATGAAAATGTGTAAAATTTAGCCCAAAACTAAAGGGGGTCACCAAATTACTTTTGAGCGCAAATGAAGCGAACGAAAGTGCAATGCGAAATCCGTACATTGACACTAAAAAGGGGTTAGGGGCTATAGGGTAAGCGCAGGGGTAAGTGCGCCCTGAACCCTTGCCCATTGTAAAATTGCAATTTTCTATAGATAATGCGAATTTTGCAACAAAAAATTTCTTGACATTTTCCGCATAAAAATTCTCGGCGGGTTCGGAGGTTAGGGCCGGGGCAAAAAAGGGTCACCCAAATGCTGCCGCTCTTTGTGTAAATAAAGGATCAAGCGCGAATGCAACCAACTGTCACACGTCCCTGCGAAATTAATAAATTACATTTTCCGTTTTCACTTTTTTTTCGCGCAAAAAATCTTGCCAATTTTTGAACCCAAAAATAGGGGAGGAGGGGGTAAATTTAATTTTTTTCGGGTGCACGAAGGGGTTGTGCGACACATTAACTGAGCCCATTAATAAGCGTAGCCAACCCCGGCTGACACGTGGGTCAATGTCGCCCGACCCGAGACCTGGCTAGGACGACAGGCGGCGCGAAAATGGGTGAAAAAACAACAATAGAGAAACCAAAAAAAAAAACAGCACAAAAAATATAGTAAAAACTACGGAAGCCCGTTAAAATGCTCACTCGATTTGAAATTGGGATTTTTCAATAAATTGTCACAAAACCTTGGCAATTCCTTCTTTGTTCGCCAGGCAATAATCCTCTTAACTGCAGCGACTGTCGCAAAATTGTGACAAAGGAGCAGGAAAAATGAAAATGTCGGAAGTAGGGGTACCAGTACTATAGCTATAGTAGCAGTGCCCTCTTTTCCCAGGGACTCTTGTTAAATAAATGAGATTTAAGGCGGAACAAAGGGGGAAGGAGGCCTCCTTGGATAAGCCGCTAACTAGGTAGGACCATTTGAGTGATTACTTAAACAACTAAACTGCAAAACAATCTTGTGTTATGAAAGAATATTATCCTAATAATTTATATAAATTAATTAATATACGTTTAATTAGTTGCAGAATGGCTTAAGCTATTTAATTTCAAAATAAAAGGTAGATTATCTCAAATCAAATCTTTCAAGTGCCAATAATAATGTAGTCTTTAAAGATCAATCATCAAACCAAAACATAAATGGGTTCTAAATTTAAGTACATATATAAGTATATAAATTATTATTACAAAGAAGATCATTCTAAGATACCCCTTATCCTTTTCTATTTCTTATAAAAGGACTCAATTTTTTTGAAAATCATCCCCTAAAATATGCAACCGAGATTTGTACGACCCTTCGCCTTTTGGGTTTCTATAATTCCTAACTGCTTCTGGCTGAGCAGGCATCAAGCCCCGACCCTGGGCTGGTTGTAGTTATCGCTTCTCGGCCTTATGGCTAAGATCAAAGTGTAGTATCTGTTCTTATCAGCTTAACATCTGATAGTTCCTCCATTGGAGGACAACAAATGTTAAACTGATTTTTGGAATCAGACGGTAGAGCTGGGAAACTATCGATAGTGACACCATTCGATATTTTCGATGTTTTGAAAACGAAAATTCGATACTATCGATAGTATCGTTTTTTTACGATTCTTTTTGCAAATTAAAGTTATAGCAATTTCAAATAGAATTATAATACTATTCAATATGTTTTGACTAAGTAATTAACATAAATATTCTATCCAAGCAACTTTGCACAAATAAAATTGTATTACCATTGCTAAACATACGCTTAGACTCTGAAGACGTGGCGTAGACGCACCCTTTCTTTTGAGATTCAGTTAATATTTTTCACCACCAACTCCAATTTAAGTTAATTTAGAATACATTTTTATTATAAAAAAAAAATATATATATACATATATATATATATTTGTTTGCATTTTTCTTACTAAATTTCAGCAACAAAGCAGAGATATAAAAATAGTCCCGTACTATCGATAGTGATAAAAAACTATCGATGGTGGCTCAAAAAAAGGAAAAAGTCGATACCTCGATAGTACCATCGATAGTTTCCCAGCTCTATCAGACGGAGTGCTAGGGGCTTGCTCCACCTCTGTCGCGGGTTGGCCCGGTATTGCAGTACCGCCGGGATTTCGGCCCAACTAAATAATAAATTATACACCTAAAATCAAAAGATTTATTAAGATTCTACGATCGAAAACAAATTCTTTCTATGGAATGACCTGCCCCAAACTATTGTGTTTTTAAGTGCCTATGTAATTCTGATCTGGATATCTTAAGAGCAATGAAAAAAACCAGCATTAAGTCCATAATTAAAAATAATTCGTTTCAAATACTTTATACTTTATATTTCAAAAGATAAAAATAGATTTTACATTTTCGAGAAACAAGTAAAATTTAAGCATTTCGGTCTACTTTATTGTCTGATAACGTCCATCCGATTTTATATGACAAAATCTGTATAATATTATATGTGATAGATATATTTTGGGCCACAAAATATAATGTACACTTTAGGTACAGGTACGGTATTGTATTAAATCAAGGTACTGCTTATGCTGGACTCAAACCTAAGCGGTGCCTCGCACCTCGCCTGAGTGACCAGTGCTGCCAGACTTTTTGTTGATTTAAAAATCAAATTAATGTTTTAAATAAAAAATAAAAATAAAACTAAAAAATGTTAATTATTTTTTCCCACTCTTCTTTTTCATATTGGATATTGTTTTAAAGTAATCGATTTTTATAAATTTATGCGAAGGCCACATTTTCACCTGGCCACACTGACACTTGTTGACACGGTCCCACTAATATGCTGTAAAATTATTATTTATTTTCCAATAACTTCGAAACGAAAGCGACCAGACTGCCGTGTTTGGACTGACTCCAGCCCCCCGTAATTGTCACTCGATCTTCCCCGGAAAAGCAAACGAATCAACATGGTGGTTGGGTGAGTGCCCAAGGGATTGTTTGCACCTTACGTAAGCCTGACACGGGGTACCCAATCTCTTTCAGATTTCTGGTGCGCGGCGGTCTGCTGGCTGGAACCGTCTACTACACCCGCCAGGTGGGCATCTGGGGCGACACGGACCAGACGGACAAGCTGTACAACCAGATCAAGTCGGATCTGTGCCCCTACGTCCAGAAGGCCAAGAAACAGCTGCCCTTCGATGTGCCGCAGCTGCCGCGGACCGGCGAGATGCGGTTCCTGGCCAAGCACTACTACAACGAGGGCGTGAAGAACACCTTCCGCTTCATCCACATGCTGCCCTGCTACGCGGGACGCGGCCTCAAGAAGGTCAAGGACACGTTCGAGGACTTTGCCCAGTCCCCGGCGATCACTGGCGGCAGCCAGGAAGCCAGTCCGGCAAAGTAGTCCCAGCCAGCTGGCCACTTTGCTCTTCAATGGGAGGCTGTTTTCGTGTTAGCTTATAGTTAGCCTATTGAATAATGTCTGTGTAATATTTACCCGATCCGCGCTCCTGCGGTTCTGCGACTTGAGCTCCTCTGAGACGCATCGAACTGGATATCTTCCAGTTTATAAGCAAAATAAAAGTAATTACGTGTTAAGCGGTAAGATCGCCCTGGAAAGTTGAAGTAATGATTTGTGGGCACCGGGAGATATTTTGAATCTAGAACAAAATACTAAATTATTTCATTCTGGCAATGCTTATATCCAGGAGATCATAAGAAAAAAGATTCGAACCGAAAGGATTTCGATAAGGGATTTAAGGATTAAAATTAAAGAAAGATCAATTATTTAAATTCAGTGTCAAGAAGCTTTTTTTATGATATGAAACATTTAATCATAAAAATCAACTGTTTTAACGTTGTTTTTTATCCTTGCAGCGAGTTCCTCAATTTTAAAGCTATCTGAATGAAACTTTGCAGATACTTTTCTAAGTAATCTCACTTCTACTAGGTTATAACTTCGATGTTTTTGTCCATACACGGCTGACCCTATATTTAGAATTAATTTTTAATTTCAAGAAAATCGGACGACCATATCATGTAGCTACCATGGGAACGATATTTAGAATATGTAGAGAAAGATAATTGCGGTGAATGTAAAACTGAAAATATAAATTTTAATAGATTTTTAAATGAATATTGATTTTTACCCTGTTTTTTTTTTTAGCATACATTTATATGTTTTGAAGTTAAGTTTTAATAAAATGTCTTTTCAAAATTCGAACAAAAAACCTAATGGTGCCGTTACAAATAAGGAATAAAATTGTAAAATAAATAAAATAATAGTTATAATTAAATATAACTTGTATTAATGAAAAACTGTATTTTTTTATTTATTTATTTATTTTTTTTTTAATTAAGCACCACATTTTGCAATTATCAGGAAGAAGTCAAACAAGACTTCTGTATCTTGTACCGTTCGCGATGAAGTGTTTTTTCAAATAATTTCAAAGCGACAAGTCCGCAATGCTTTCTTTTTAGAATGCAAATAGTACTGGTAAAATGCATTAATCAGGGAAAACAATTTAGAATAAGTAAAATTTTTGCCATTTTTGTTCATGACGTTGTATGAATGTAGCGCTTGTCATCCTGGAAATGCCCATATTTAAAATCTAAAATATAGTTCTTTTATACGATTTAAGAATATAGTTTTGAAATTTTATTAAGGGGTTATATACAGTTGTGATGATAAAAAAATCGACTTTTTTTTTATTTCATATTCTTCAAGTATATAATGTTGAGAATATTCTCACAAAAATTCATAACGATCGGAGCTTTAGAACCGAAGTTGTAGCTATTTATAGCGCACGACCTGCACGTCGGCCGGTACAAATTTGAAACTTTAAACGCGATTATCTCAGAATCGTTTTTTTTCCAAGTTACCTTTGCGGTGGACACGATTACTAAAAAACTATTGATCCGATCAACACCAAATTTTGACCACTTATTTATTATAACAATAGCTAGTCCTCTAACGAAGAATTTTTTATTTTTTTTTTAAACTTTTTTTTTTAAGGTATAAAAATCGAAAAACTTATACCTCGAAAAAGTAAATTTTTTGTTAAAACTGTCGCCATTTTTTTTTTAATCAAAAGTTTTACAAATCCATGGTCTAGAGGACTAGGCAAGACAATATACTAACGAAAAATTGTTTAATTTTTGATTTCGGATGAACCGTTCTCGGGATATGATGTCCACCGCAAGTCAAAATCGAAAAAAAGACGATTTTGGAATTCTGCCATAACATTTTTAATATTTAAGTTTTTTTTATGAAAAAATTTTATGAAGTACCCAGAAACATGTACTAAACAACGTCGGCAAAACATGTTTAATAAATATTTTTTATGATGTCAAAAAAAAATCGACAAAATTGCATTTTTTTGCGCGGTACAACTGTATATAACCCCTTAAAGCCAAATTGTTGTATTTTATGTATGTATAAGTATATATTCTTAATGATCCAATTGTGAACTGCAGGGGTATACAAACTTCGGTGTCGAAGTTTTTTAGAAATATTTTTTTTTTTTAGATTAAAATTAGCTTCCTTTCTTGTTTAGTTATGAATTATTTATCTTGGATAAGTTATTAATCTATCCAAAACGTTTATTTTTCGAAAAGGAGTTGAAAAATACCAACAAATAACCTATTAGTTTCAAGGCGTATTTTTTTAAATGGAAGTTTCTTCTTGTTTGAATTCCAGATTATAGGATATGAGTTAAGGATACAAATTAATTGGCACTTTAAAAAGAATTAAAAATTAATTAAGTAGTTTCCAATCAATGTCAAAATGAAACATTCTTAAAAATGTTTATAGCTTGCTCTTTTAGTTGATCAAAAGTGGTCGTTGGCCCCATAAGTTGCGGTTGTCGCTGAACTTTGGCTTATTTCACAGCAATAACATGGCAAGGACAGCAACAACAAGAGGCACGTGAATCCATTACGATTTGGCAGGCAATTATGTGCGTGTTAAATCCTTCCAGCAATAAAAAGCAACAACAGCAACTACATACAAACACATGCAGCAACAGCTATGAAAAGCCACGAAATGGGCTTTTAATGCAAACGATTTTTCCGCTTCAACTGCACGCACGGCCAAGGTGAATCCTGAGGGCGCTCAACAGAGAAAACTCTTCTCGAGGAATTAGAGATGCAAGGATGTAGGATGTAATATGATCTCATAAGAGGGAAGACGGCACACAATCCATATCCTTTCCTTACATAAACGAGATATATAGGAATTATAAACAGTATAATTTAATAAATATTTAAGAAACTCACTCATAAATGCCAGTTGAGAAATCCCGACCCTTTTCACATTCAATGGACTCCATAGAGTTTCACGTACCGCCATTTCTTTTTACCAAGAAATCCAATGTTTTGGTATGTTTAGAAGCGAAAGCCGTGGCAGCAACAAGCCGACTGGGTCTGATGGTTGTCTGTCTACCTGTCCCGCCGCCGCCATTCCGCTGAACCCTGCCGACGACTGCCAGTCATTTGGCCAGGTGAGACGACAGTCGTCGGCCTGGCTGTTTGGGCCTCGAATTGCCCCAAAAGAGCTTTAAATAAACAAACTAATAACAGAAATCACGAGGCAGTGGCCCGGGCGCCCGGGTGCCAAGGTGCCAAGGTGGAATAGGGACAGCAACTGTCTCCCAAATGCACCGCACACCCGTATTCTATGGCAACCGCGCCAGCCCAAAGCCCCGTGGATGTATAACCCGAATAAACAAACTAATAAAATGGGGCCCACATGCCCGAGTCCACGCGAATCCGCGAGTCCTGGCTCAGAGCTGCCACGGAGGCGACCAACAACACTCGAGGAGCACACAAATTCCATACCAATACTATATAACTGCTATATACATATCTGTACCCCAAAAGACTGAACGCCAAGCAACAACCAACCAAAAAAAAAATCACCAAAAATCGACGAGAACTGAAGGGAAAAGCAGCTCAAGTGGAGCAGTCGCTCCGCTCCAATTTCCATTTCCCATTCCCACCCACAGTATCTCGTTGTGTGGTGTCCCCAAAAAAAGAAGAACCAAACCAAACTAATCCATAATCCGTCGAGCTGAATGCACTTGCAAATTAGATAACCAGAAGTGGCTTTCTGGTGGCACATCCAGGGATTTCCAGAAGGACTGGGTGAGTATATTTGGATAATTATGAGGAGTCTGTTGGAAATCAGTGAATCAATGAAATGTATTAGAAATCGGGGTTTCACCATCAAGAGAAGAAAAAACTTGTTCGAGGTGTAGCTATTCCAATTTCCAACTGCCAATGTCATAGAAAGTGATTTAGATTTAAAATAAATTTAAGTAATTGTGCCCAGAAATTAGGTCCTCATTATGAATCTAAAATATATTTTTCCCAATTGATTTTAAAACCATAAAAATCGTAACCTATGTATGTTAAAGAGTCCTTACAGGCTCTCAGAGGACTGCACATATTATGCAACGGGAATAGGGGATTTCCTACAGACTTACGCCAATCCGCATAACCATGTCCGAAGCTCTCCAGGAGTCGCTTGCCCGTATCGAACTATTATGAAACTCGAAGGTGGAAGGTGCCACACGCACGGCAACGGGCCAGGGTCAGGGGCAGGGCCAGGTGCCAGTCCAAGTGCAGGTGCCAGTGCAGGGTCAGGTGCCGCCGAGGACGACACCTGCAACGGCAACGGCGACGGCGGCGGCAACACATGCCAGGCGCCGCCAGCTGCTTTCCATGGCCAAGTGCCGCAGTCGCTCCATACTAATTAACGATGAAGCGCCCATGCCGGAGGCACCCTGCCCTGCGCCAGCTCCTGCTCCAGTTCCAGCTCCAGCGAGTCCCTCGCCACAAGCCCAACAACAACAACAACAACAACCGCAACAACAGAACTACTTACCTCAAACATCTTTGCTGAAAATCGAACCGTTCGTTCCTAGTTTTAATCAAAGACTACGCCGGCGTCCTATTGGTCGCTCCCATAGCACCTTAAGCCACAATGCCGTCCCGAAGCGTCCAGTGCAACAGCAGCTCCATATCCAGCAGCAGCAGCAGTCGGAGCTCCAGGTTGGCCAGCCGCAGCAGCTCAAGCGGAGCTATGCGGCCGCCGTCCAAATCCGGCAGCAGCAACAGCAGCAGCACCAACGGAACTTGCCACGTGGCGTTGGCATCCAGCGACAGCGCTCCAAGTCCACCTCCTCCTCGGCGGCCTCCAACAACTGTCGCCCGGCCACAGCCGCTGCCACGCCCAACACGCTGGTGGGCAGCACAGGCGGAACGCTGGTCAGTGGTGCCATAGTAACGCCCCAGCCTAATGGCATCTGCCGGATCCAGCGGCTGGCCAAGGAGCGCGAGGAGCTGCCCGACCGCATCAATTATGACCGCCGGGGGCTGACCGCCATACCCATCTTCGAGCAGGAACCCAATCTGAGGCTGCTGTCGCTGCAGCACAATCTGATCAACACCTTCCACATACCCAAGGAGCTGCCACCGCCGCCACCGCCTCCGCCGGCGGTGCCCACTCCGGCTATTGCCACACCGAGGGAGGGGAATAATAATAATATCAAGCTGGGAGGTAAGTATCCCCGTATCCGAATCCAACGGCTTTTATAATTAGTAATGAAAAATCTTCTTACCGAACATGTATTTCTTGCAGAATACAACACCAACGGAAGCAAGCAACTGCCGGAGGGAGGACGTTCTGGTCTGCGTGGCCACCATCCAGGGAGACTCACCCGCGCCATGACCAATGCCGGGAACCCGCACAACCACCGCCTGTCGCCAAAATCCGGCGGCAGTCCAGGATCGGGCAGTCCGCTGACCACCCAGGCACTGGCCATCAATGGAGGCGGAGCCGCCGGACGATCCAAGCTTACCAAGAGGGGCTACAACTACGGACAGGCGCAGCTAACACCGCCGCCGGCCCTGAGGATGCGTTACGGTCTGGAGAAGTCCAAGAGCTTTGTAAGCAGCAGCCTGCAGGCGATGAAGCACCAGCAGCAGGTGATACAGCGTCGGGCCTTCCTCAATGCCAACAGAGGAGCTGGAGCAGGCCTACCCGGAGGAGGCGGAGGTGCAGGCTGTAATCTCCTCCAGAGCTGTGACGAAGGCAGCGCCCTGCATAACAGCAACCTTTCGCTGTGCGGCGGCTACGGCGAGGAAGAGGACGCCCCCAGTGTGATGGCCTCCATTTCGGCCCTGGAGCAGCTGAGCATCAAGAACAAGCAGCTGAGCCTAAGCGCCAGTTACGGGAGCATATTCCAGCAGCTCGTTTTCCTGGATCTCTACGATAACCAGATCGAGAGGATAGCCAACTTGGATGGCCTGCCGTCGCTGTCGGTCTTGCTGCTCGGCAAGAACAGGATCACGGATATAGGGGGTCTGTCCTCTTTGAAGGACTCACTCAGGGTGCTGGATCTGCATGGCAACAAGCTCACCAGTCTGGGCAGCCGCATCAACTGCCTGCAGCAGCTCAAGTCGCTGAATCTGGCGGGGAATCAGATTCGTCAGATTAACCAGCAGGACTTCCTGGGACTCCGCTGTTTGAGGGAACTAAACTTGAAGAGGAACAAGCTGCGGCGGATCAATGGCTTCCAGCACCTCGTGGCCCTGGAGCGGCTGTGGCTGTGCCACAACGAGCTGCACCGCGTGGACGACATGGCCAGCATTGCAAGAGCCAGCCGTCTGCTGGAGGTCACTATCGAGAACAATCCCGTCTCGCTGGCGGGGGACTGCGTGTCCTTCCTGGTCTCGTACCTCCCGCTGCTGCAGTCGCTCAGCCAGATGCCCATCACAGAGCAGGTGCGTCGAGCGGCCCTGGCCTGGCGCCAGCACAAGGAGCAGGCTCAAGCTGCTCCCGGGAGCTCTGAAGCCTATCAGAGCATTCGCCGGGAGGAAGTGATATCCAATGCGCGGACGAACTGGGAGCTGCTGCGATCCCAGCAGACTGTTGTGGGTCGTCCCAAGAGCCGGCTGACCAGCGAGCTGGCCAAGATCAACGAGTCCAACGAAGGTCCAGCCGCCGAGGAGGCGGAGACTGAGTCCGAGGAGTCGCAGCAGCCCAAGGAGCTAATGGACGAACTGCAAGCGCTGATCAAGTTGCCTCCGATAGCCAAGAACCTGCAGACGCCGCAGGAGGAGGATGGCGGCTCCTCGGAGGCCTCTAGCTTGGGGCCCAACGTCGACTCCTGCTCCAGTTGCTACAGCACGGACAATGAGGAGGGTGTCAAGAACAAGCCGCAGACGCCACAGATGGACGAGAACTGCAACAAGTTGGGATTGGTGGAGAAAAGTCCTCCGTCACCTGTTCCAGCTCCTCCCCCAGCGTCAGCTCCATCCCCAGATTGCACTAAGGTGATACCTCCGCCTGTGGTAGCTTCTTCTCCTTCGCCGCCTGCCTTGACCTTGACGCCACCGGCTGCTCCTGGAACTCCAGTGCCCGGTGCTGCCCCTACCCCGCCACCAGCCGCAGTGAACAATACGTTGCCAGTGCCCGCCACAGCTTCCTCCAGCACCAGCCGTCCGGCCAGCAGCAAGCAGCGATCCAGACACGCACCCATCACCCAGTTGGGGTTGCAGATAAACCAGAGAGGGGGCGCATCCTCCAGGCGCTACATGGCTGGTAGCTTGGTGCGGGCCCAGACCGTCAGCAGCAGCACCAGCAACAGCAGCAGCTCCAATAGCACAGGTCGCGGCAAGGCCTCCAACAATGGCCTAACTCTGGTGGCCACACAGACGAAGGCTTCGACAAGTGCTTCGTCCAATCAGTCATCAGCGGGTGCTGGTACCACTGCCGGAACAGGGGGAGCAGGGGCAGCTGCATCAGGAGCTGGAGGAGCAGCAGCCACGCCCACAGCGGCCATCACGGTATCCAAGCCCAGCGCCGCCGAGCGGGAGAGAGAGCAAGGCGGCGATTATCTGATCGAGATCTGCGGAAGGTACTTAAACATCTATGGCCAGGGAGCCCTTCGCTTCATCGACAAGCAGTGGAATCCGGCCAAGGCCAACGATGTGCACACCCTGAACTTCAGCTACATCAACTTCAACAGCATTGTCTGTGTGCTCGGAAGGATCAAGGTGCGGTTTCCGCACGCCGAGCACTTTGTCTTCCGCGAAACGAACATCTCCTGTTTGGGGCAGATCAATGGACTGGCCGAGCTGCAGGGTCTAAGCAGCCTGCTCATCGATGCCGAGGGAAATGGCATCACTCTGAAGGAGTCCTGGCGAGCGTACGCTATATACAGGCTGTCGCACTGGGGTCTGAAGCAGCTCAACGGACAGGAGGTCACCGAGGCCGAAGTGGAGGCTTCGAATGCCATGTACGTGGGTCTCTCCGATCTGGTGCTGTGGTCCATGCCGGAGGTGATGCTGCAGCCTTTGTTGGCGCGCCTGCGTCTCGATGAGACCTGCACGGCCAGTAAGCTGTCGCCAAAGGAGTGGCTCCTTCGGCCGGACAACAAATCCCTGCGTCTGGTGGTGGGCAAGGAGGCGCTTCAGTGGAAGAAGAACGCCGGAGGTGCAGGATCTGGGGCGACAACTGCCTCTGCCATGTCCCTGAATCCCGCAACAGAAGCGGGAAGCACTGCCATGGCGCCCAGTGCACGGGATCGAGGCCGCCAGCACTTTGCCGTGCTGCTGGAGAACACCTGCAACGCTGTGGAGAAGCTGCACAAGCTGGAGACGCTCTGGCCGAGCATGCTGCTGGACATTGTGCGGAATACACTGCTGGATTACGCCCAGTTGGATGTCTACCTGCGCAACCTCATGTGCGAGCTGATGAAGTGAGGAGAGGTTCCGCGAGAAGTTATTAGTCATACTCTGGCTTTTAGATAGATACGCACTGACATACTAGAGCAAATCATGATATATTCCTAGGATCCTAGGCATTTACATGTGTCCTCGCGACCAATCCTGTAAAGCAGCTGCTTACAACTAGTCCAATTTTTATAAATATTTAACATTAAACATGATTAAAGTGAGTACCAAACTAGAGTGGCCCACACCAGAAATGCATTTGGAAGGGTTTTAACCCACTATTCAGAGTCCTTCTAATCTATTTCTCCGCTTAATAGCTAGAAACAAAGCTGGATTTGAAAGCAAATTATCAGAATTTCAAGCTGTTCTTGCTTGGGAAACTGCATAAAATGTTGGATGTTTAGCATTCCAAGAGGAGAAAGGAATTATTTTTGCATACAAAAATGTTAAACTAGTTATTATTTAAAGAAAAGAATCCTCCTGAATCCTCCTTCGATTTCTATCTTCCTCCGCCACAATCCACAATAGGAAACTGTAGAAAATTTTGGTTTTTTAGCTTTCCAAAAGAATAATTAAGTTTTAAAGCAAAGAATAAATCCAAGTCTTGAACCCTACTCAATAACTGTTTCAAGCATTAAACCTTAGGCTAATTTCTTTTAGTTTTTGGTGAGTTCAGGAATTATTTTTTCATAAAAAAGTTTAAAATTATCATTATGTAAAGCAGGGAATTCCAAATCTTTGACCTAACTCAGTAACTCTTTCAAGTATTAAAAGCATTAATTTCCTACAGTTTTTGGTCAGATCAAGTTTCTCAGGCTAAGCCCAGCTTGAAGTTCACAGCTAATACAAGCCGACAAAATTTGAAAAAAATCGCATAAACAAGAACCGAAATATACATTTCTGAACTCAAACTGTCGACCTGTGTAATCTGAAGATTCCAAAAAACCAAAAAATCCACCCCCCAACTTACTTAATTCTACGCCCGAGGCAGTGCCTCCGCATCGTCGCTGGTGGTGGCCGGCTTCTGAGTTTTTTGCGCCTTGTCCACGTAGATATTCAGGATTGCCTCGATGCCCGGATAGAGCACAAAGTTTGTGGTCCTTATTTTCTTGTCGATGAGGTAGGATGTCACCGATTCCGTATTGAAGGCAATGTCCAAGGCATCGCTATGCGTCACCTTGTCGAGCAGCGTGCGCTGCACTTTGATCACACAGTTCTCAAACCCATTCACCTTGATGCTCAGATCCAAGTTGTAGGCGGCATCGATGTCCGGCCACCGCTGGGCCAGCACATCCTCGCTCCACTGCAACTCATCGCTGGCGGGATTCAGTCGGCCCGGTATGGCCACAAACTTGGACCACAGCTCTGAGGCGAAATGGGGAGCCATGGGTGCTAGCATTATGATTTGTGCGGCGAAGGCTCGCTCAAATTGCTTGCCATGCCGCAAAACGTGCTTTGGTGTGCGCTGGAATGGGTAGTTTACGAGTCATTAGAGATCGAGAAAGACGTCAAAACTCAGAAGCTCACCCTCAGGGAGTTGGTCAGACCCTGCATCTTGGATATAGCCACGCTTAGCTGATGGGCGTGGCGGTAGTTGAAGGTGGCTCCCTTCACGTAAAAGTTGCGGGCATCAAAGAGCTTGGCATCGTCGGCTAGGAAATCCTCGCTGTTCACATCAACCTGCGGGGCGGAGGTATCCTCTCGTGCCGCCTGGAAGTCCTGCAGGGTCAGCCAGAGGCGCTTCTGCCAGTTCAGAATGCCAGGAAATGCTGTGAAATGGAGAAAATGCCGATTTTTTCATCAATTATTATTAAGAGACTTACTGGCACTGGACCAATTGCGGTGAGAGGTGGGCGCCACGTCGGCCAGGATGATCAGCCGGGTGGTGTCCGTGCCGTATTCGTTGAACATGTCACTGGGCTCCACTCCGTTCAGCTTCGACTTGGACATCTTCTCCCAGCCCATGACCACGGGCTCCTTGTTCTCCTTCAGCACAGCCTGGTTCTTCTTGGCATTCACTATCTCCACCTCCGATTCGGGTACATAGCGCCCGCTGCCTTTCACCCGGAAGGAGCGACCCATCACCATGCCCTGGACCAGCAGGCGCGAGAAGGGTTCGCTGGTGGGCGACAGGCCGCAGTTGTGCAGGAAGTGGTTCATGAAGCGGGCATAATACAAATGCAACACGGCGTGCTCCTTGCCCCCGATGTACAGGTCCACGGGCATAAACCTGTTGGCCAGCTGGGCATCAAAGATGTGCTCAGAGTTCTGGGCGTCCAAGTAGCGCAGGTAGTACCAGGAGCTGTCCACGAACGTGTCCATGGTGTCGGTTTCTCGCCTCGCCCCTTGTTCGCCACACTTGGGGCACTCGCAGAGAAAAGCTTCCTTTGGTGAGTCCTTAGGCGGGAGTGTTACCGGCAGCTGCTGCTCCGGCACCGGCACTGCTCCGCACTTGCTGCAGTGGATAATGGGAATAGGAGTGCCCCAGTAGCGTTGTCGCGAGATTAGCCAATCCTGCAGTTTTGAGGACACCCGATAGCCACCCACATTGAGCCGAGTGGCGGTCTGGAGCACCTCCTTTCTCAGCAGCTCCCAGTTGCCCGGATTAAGGGTGGCCTCCTGGCCGCCGTTGCAACTGAATGCCAGTCCGTACGACTCCCACAGCTCCTTGTCCTCGTCGCTGAAACTGGGCGCCGCCAGGTAGACATCACACTTCGCTGGAAAGTTTACTTCGTCGCCAAAGACAACGGGCATTGTGGTGCCCGCAAAAGGGTTCTCCACACTGAGGCTGCTCGCGTCCTTCAGCTGCGACAGATGGTGCTTGCTGCGGAGCACGAGGAAGGCATTGGGATCCTTCAGGTGCTCCGGGTGGGCGGTCCACACTCGCAGCAGTCCGGAGGCGGAGGTGAGCAAGGTGAAGGCGTGGCCGTCGCAATCCCCAATCCAGTGCCGCTGCAGGTTGATTATGTCCCGCCAGTCGCGCAGTGTGGGATCTTCCAGGCCATCCAGCAGCTGCTTGGCGTAGGCACTCGTCCGAATGAACCACTGGCGGAGCAACTTCTTCTCCACCTTGGCGCCCGAGCGCCAAGAGCATCCATTGGCGTCCACCTGCTCATCGGCGAGCACAGTCTTGTCCACGGGATCCCAGTTAACGAGCGCCTCGTTCTGGTAAGCCAATCCGTGGCGGTGCAGCATGAGGAACAGGTGTTGCGTCCACTTGTAGTACTGCGGACTGCAGGTGGACAGCTCGTGGTTCCAGTCAAAGGAGCAGCCCAGCCGTTTAAGCTGATCCTTCATCTGGGCAATGTTCTGTTCCGTCCAAGAAGCTGGTTCCACACCGCGCTGATTGGCAGCATTCTCGGCAGGCAGACCGAAGGAATCCCAGCCCATAGGCTGGAACACGTTCTTGCCGCACATGCGCTGAAATCTGGCCACCGAGTCGGCGATTGTGTAGACGCGTACATGGCCCATGTGGAGATTACCCGAGGGATACGGGAACATAGATAGCACGTAGTACTTGTCCTGGACCTCCTTGGGGTTGAACTGGCCACCGCTGAGCTTATCCCGCCAGTGGCCTTCAATCCGGTGTTTTACATCGTTTGTAAGTTCTAAATTCTGCGAATTAAAGCGGGTTACATTTTATTCCGGCATCTAATTTCCGCACTCACCTCATTTCCAGTGCAGCTTTGGGTGAGCAGGCGGCGCCAACTGCTCAAAAACAGCCCCCTCCAGGGCCGAGTGCATTTTAGAGTCTGCATTCTGAAGCTTTTAATTGATTAAATTGCACATTTCCATTCACGGCTATTAAATAACAAATTCATAAAATCCAACAGTCGAACAGCTGTTTTCTGGGATAGAGCTGCCACTTCGTCCGCTAGGCCGCTTTTTGTTCTCGCAATTTTTGGCGGGAATCTTTCCTGACTTACTGGCAAGGCTTCGCCCAGGGCTGCATTTTCGATTCTCCGGGAACTACGGCACCTCTTCGCATTTTTCTATCGATTTTTGTCTAGGTGGCAACGCCTTTGCTGTATTTTGCAAAAAAAAAAGTTTACACGTAATTTTCACAGGGCGAGGCAGTGAAAAAATCAAATTCCACACGTTTACCCAAGTGAAATCGACTAAAAACCATTGAGGGACATGGGTGATTCCCTGGAGAACGCCGACACCTCGGTGGATCCGGGCGTTAATATATCTATAGCCAATTACGATGCTTTTGCCAACTACCTTCGCAAGACGGTGACCATTTTGCTGCCGGAGGAGGATGTGGTTTCTGCATCTCTGAATACCGCTCTGGATGACCCCGTCAACCAGGAGACCATCCGGAAGTTCCTCTCGGATCCGCAGGTGCAGGCGCTCTACGTCCAGCGGAACTGCATCAAAGGTAGGAACAAGGAAAATCATATCTTGTGCCTCGCTGGCAAACTTGGCGGCGAAAAAGTGCATTGCACAAAATGGCGTCGCTTCGGCAAAGATAAAAATGTTTGGAAGCTGGCCTGTTTGGTGATTTAAAAATCTTGAAATTTTGGTTTCTTAAGACTTTATGAATCATTCTAAGGTATGCTTGTTGAATACTCAACGAGTTTGTTAAAATTCAATTCGCCAGATGGTTTTTGTTGAATTCCAATAAGGAAGTCTGATGGGTCTTGCACATTGACTGTTGAATACCCTACCATTGTTGGTATGCAATAGGAAAATAATAGAAGTAAAGCATTTATTGAGAAAAATATTTGTTATTAGTTCAATTTTGATCGATCATCATAACTAATTAAATATGCACCCAATAATTTTTTATTTTTTTGATAATTAACAAACTTATTATTAATATTCGTCCTAGTATTAATGGTTTATCAATTTAGATATGTCGCTAAAGCTTTTTAATGATACTGAGCTGGTTAATTTTGTGTAACAAAATAAAACATTTTCACATAAGAGTACCAAAACGTTGTGCAAAGTCATTATGCTTTTAAAAAGGGCATTAAAACAAGTTTTTGCGCATGACGTCAGCACATCTGACTCACACTTCGATATCGATAGAGCGATAACTTCAGCCGAAACGATAGCTGCAACAGCTGTGCTGCCATTTGCCGGCTTCCGTTTGTTTACAAACAAAGTGTGGGAAAGCCGGTGACAGCTGTTTGCCGGCACAGCAACAGGTTTGTTTACGGAAGCGACCTTGGCGGCTGCTGCTGATTCGTTCGCTGTTCGTTGACTTGCTCGCGACTTTGGGGCCGACATTGACATTGGCCGAAGGCAAGGTAATGGCACTGGCACTGGCCCTGGCCATGGCAATGGGAGTGTTCGTGGCATTGGCGGCAGGGCCACATGTGTGGGAGCAATGACAGCGCCAAGGTCCAGCCTTGAGCGCACGAATTTCGAAGGTTTTTCCCTTGGCCGCTGAATTTCCGGAGGTCGAAGCCTTGATAATGAAATGATGTCAGTGCCGTGCCAGTGCCACTGAGCACCAATGCCAAATGGGCCGTGTTAAATGTGGGTGAGTGGGAAGGAGTTAGGTCAGTCATGTAATATAAGTTAGGTTATACGAATAAAAGTATGCAAGGCAGTGGGAAAGTGATTAGCAAATACATATTAACACATTTGCTTAACTTCAACAGAGGATGGCGAGCAGCCGGCCGAGGGTGAAGAGGAGAAGGAGCAGGTAACCTACCAGATCAGCAACGATGTCCACTTCACCAACAGCCGAATGGCCTCGCTGGCCTGCATCAAGCGGGGCATGGTTGTGGAGGCGGACAAGTCGATCCATTCGCAGCTGCGGCTGATCAACTTTTCGGACGGATCGCCGTACGAAACGCTGCACGCGTTCATCAGCAAGTCTCTGGCGCCCTACTTCAAGTCGTACGTCAAGGAATCGGGACGAGCTGATCGCGATGGCGACAAGATGGCTCCCTCCGTGGAGAAGAAGCTGGCCGAGCTGGAGATGGGACTGCTGCACTTGCAGCAGAACATCGACATACCGGAGATCACGCTGACTGCCCATCAAACTGTCAACGCGATGATTCGGAAGTACTCGGAAGAGGGTCGCAAGGCCAAGGTGGCCGACTTTGGCGACAAGGTGGAAGATTCCTCGTTCTTGAATCAACTGCAGACCGGCGTCAATCGTTGGATTACCGAGATCAAGAAGGTCACGAAGCTAAACCGTGATCCGGGCTCGGGCACTGCCCTGCAGGTGAGTGGAAAACAACAGGAAATCAAAGGGAAATTTTACATTATAATAATTCCATCTTCTTTTCTTTAGGAAATCTCCTTCTGGCTTAATCTAGAGCGCGCTTTGTATCGCATCCAAGAGAAGCGCGAGTCGCCGGAGGTCGCTCTGACTCTGGACATCCTGAAGCATGGCAAGCGCTTCCACGCCACTGTTTCCTTCGATACGGATACTGGCCTAAAGCAGGCTCTGGCCACAGTGGCCGACTATAATCCTTTGATGAAGGATTTCCCCATCAACGATCTTCTGTCGGCCACTGAGCTGGAGAAGATCCGGCCTGCTGTGCAGCAGATCTTCTCGCATCTGCGAAAGGTGCGCAATACCAAGTACCCCATCCAGCGGTGCCTCAAGCTCATCGAGGCCATCTCGAGGGATCTGTCCCAGCAGCTGCTCAAAGTGCTGGGCACTCGCCGTCTGATGCACATCCCCTTCGACGAGTTCGAGCGCGTGATGAACCAGTGCTTCGAGATCTTTAGCTGCTGGGATGATGAGTACGACAAGCTGCAGGGGCTGTTGCGCGACATTGTGAAGAAGAAGCGCGACGAGCACCTGAAGATGGTGTGGCGCGTCTCTCCGGCGCACAAGAAGCTGCAGACGCGCATGGAGCATATGCGCAAGTTCCGGCGCCAGCACGAGCAGCTCCGCACAGTTATCCTGCGCGTCCTGCGGCCCAACAAGCCGGCTGTTGGCGATGACGGCAGCGCCGCTGAGACCAAGCAGCCGTACAGCCTGGACGCTGCCGATGCCAATGCCATCGAGGAGGTCAACTTGGCCTATGAGAATGTCAAGGAAGTGGACTGTCTGGACATCACCAAGGAGGGATCCGAGGCCTGGGAAGCCGCTGTCAAGCGCTACGAGGAGAAGATTGGTAAGTATTGAAGCTTCAACAAATACGTTGGGTTTCTAAATCCTCGCCCACAGATCGCGTGGAGACCCGCATCACGGCCCATCTGCGTGACCAACTGGGAACAGCCAAGAACGCCAACGAGATGTTCCGCATCTTCTCGCGCTTCAACGCGCTCTTTGTGCGTCCGCACATCCGTGGCGCCATTCGGGAGTACCAGACGCAGCTCATTCAGCGCGTCAAGGACGACATCGAGGCCCTGCACGAGAAGTTCAAGGTGCAGTATCCGCAGAGCAAGAGCTGCCGCCTCTCTTCGGTGCGAGACCTGCCCCCAGTGGCTGGCTCCATCATCTGGGCTCGCCAGATCGACAACCAGCTGACGATGTACTTGAAGCGCGTCGAGGATGTGCTCGGCAAGGGCTGGGAGACGCACATCGAGGGCCAGAAGCTGAAGGCCGACGGCGATAGCTTCCGGGCAAAGCTCTCCATCTCGGATGTGTTTCACGAGTGGGCTCGCAAGGTGCAGGAGCGCAACTTTGGCAGCACTGGCCGCATCTTTACCATCGAGTCGACCCGTTCGCGTACGGGACGCGGAAATGTCCTGCGCCTGCGGGTCAATTTTCTGCCGGAGATTATTACCCTGGCCAAGGAGGTGCGCAATATCAAGAACCTGGGATTCAGGTATGCGATTAAGCAACTCTCTTCGGTGGAGATGTGATTTTATGTGATTTATTTTCCTGCAGAGTTCCACTCACGATTGTGAACAAGGCGCACCAGGCCAACCAGATTTATCCGTATGCTATATCCCTGATTGAAAGCGTTCGTACCTACGAACGCACCTTGGAGAAGGTGAGCTTCATTTATTTTAGACTGCAATCAGACGAATTCGGGAAAAATGTGCAAAGAGAAATGCATAATAGACAAAGACAGGAGCAATTTTTAAAAGTCAAAAATATTTGCAAGCTCCAGAATTAATTTAATATTTGAAATAAGTTTAAAAAAAAAAGAAACCAAGATTCGTCTGAGATAAGCTGTATACCAAAGACCTTATAATAAGAAGAAAACCCTGGCAGAAAAATTGTTTGCTTATGGGGGTCATCCCTGGGAAATCGACAAAAAATCCAAAAACAAAAAATAAATCCTGAAAACCCCCTAAAAACCAGGCCGTTACATGGGATGACCTTCTTATGGCAACAAGAATGTTTGGGGATTTTGTATCTTTTTATTATATTGTCTTCCATTCATCACTTTTGCCCAGCTCTTACAACCCACAAACACACACACTTGCCACTCCCAAAACGTCACTTAAAGCATAAAACGCTCTATTCTCTTGCATCGCTTCGTTGGCGTGCAGCTTGAATTTTGCTCATACCACAGCACACTTTGAACACTTTAAGCCCCACACTTTCCACCCATAAATGGTCACCTTAGTCTTAGATATCCGCTCTTGAACTAAACCAACCGAAACAACCAACAACCTTTCTTTCATGCAGCTTAATAATAGGAGTCTAGCACAAAATTCTGTATTCAAGGTAGTGTTGTTTTTGTCCCCCAAAAGTTGTTTATTTTCAAGTTTTCAAGTTTAGTTTTGTTCAACTCCCGCATGCCAATAAAGAGTCACCTGTTTCAACCCTTGTGAAGTTTGATTCTAATGGACTTTCTCTGATTTAGATCGAGGATCGCGCCAGTATTGTGCCTCTTGTGGCGGGTCTGCGTAAGGATGTCCTCAACCTGGTCTCCGAGGGTATTGGTCTGATCTGGGAGTCCTACAAGCTGGATCCCTATGTCCTGCGTCTCTCGG